ACTAGAGTGGGGGAATAATAGAAATTTACTTTAGGAACTGTAATAAGGTACTTTTAGAGCCTTTAGGACGCGTCTAATAAAGATACCTAACCTAGGTTAAGAACTTCCTACTCTCTACCCTATAAATCTACACTATACGAGATATCCTAGGGAGAACTAGACCCTATAACCTTAAGAAGACTACTTCCTACGCCTAAAGTATAGGAGTGGGTCTCTCCCTATAATAAACCACGACTCTAGAGTAAGAAAGTAAATCTAGAGGCCTAAATAGATAGGCCTACGTGAGCCTATAATATGAAGGGACTACCTCCCACCGTAGAACAACCCTTAGGAGGGTAGAGTAGGGGGGTATGTAATGGGCTACGCCCTGGAGGTCTTGTCTCGGCCCAGGACCGGCTGGGACCTCGGACCTAATGTTAGCTTTGGGGGGTAGATATATAACTTCGGTAGTAGAAGCTTAACTTCGAGTCTTCGTGAATTTATAAATATTCATTCTGGCTATCTTGGCTCCTCGAGCATCTGGCCCATAACAGGTTACTCCTGCTAAGGAGGCATTAGTGAAGGAGTAGACTAGGACTATAAAGGATAGAAAGATAGGTATATAGTCTTAGACGTTCTTTAAATAGTTTCTATTCTTTATAGTTAACTTTAAAAGCTTACTTTTATATCTAAATTAAAGCCACTTATCCTTATACAAATCATTAGTCTTCTCTTAATATTTATTACATCGTACTATCATATGGTGTAGGATATTCCCCTAACCTTATTGGTACCGCCATCCCTTACGCTCGAATCACTAAATACCCGCAAGGTCCGAACCTACGGTTAGGTACGTGGAAACCCCTTGTAACAAGAGGCTACCTAACAAGCATGGATATACTACTGGTAGTAGTATATCTTAGAGATATCGCGCGCTGGCAGCTAGTTAATAGATTATTAGATGGGTGGCCCGTCTACTAGCTGATTGGTCAAAGCATGGCGCTAGCCACCCTTAGTGAGGGCGTGCGATGAAGCGAGAAAATAGATCTACACTGGATAGGGGAGAGGACCTTTTCTCCTTATCCAACGTCTTGTACCTACACGTAGATACCGAACGCAGTAATATCAGTCTAGCCTACTACTAGGCCGTAGACATCTCTACTCGTTGCTCTCGTGACAGCTTGCCTACGTAGCTCGCTTGCCGGTTACGTTATGGGGCCGCGATTTTCCAGGATGTTCGCTTACCTCAGCGCGCAATAATAAGCTCGCCACCTGGCGAGGCGACTGTGACCCAAAGTGTGGCAGTGTGTCAGACATTCAAATCTCACTGTGGCCTCTCCCTCTAAAGCTTCTATCCCGTCTCGACGAACTGCCACAATCATTCCAATAACTCACTATCTGGCCATGATGCAGACCCGACGTGTGCATGCATTGGATCATGCGGAATTCGAAGGTGATCCCATTCAGAACTTGGGCAAGCCAATTACTCTGATAAAAAAGAAGGACAATAAACAACTTTACGCGATGCGAAGAGTCAAACGAACGGAGCCTTTCGTTTTATCTCCCGCAGCAAAGGACATTCACCACCCACTCATAGCGCATCTCGCATTCACGAACGAAATCTCTAATAACCTGTACCTTTACTCTCCTTTTATCAGCGGTGGACACCTGTTCAACCATTTGCAGAAAGCTCGGCAATTCGACGTTGACACGAGCAGAATTTATGCCGCCGAGATCATTTGCGCGTTGGAGTACCTGCATACTCTGGACGTGTGCTGTTGGCTCAAAGCTCAAAATATTATGTTTGATTCATTGGGTCACATTACACTGTGTGGCTTTGGACTTTTCCGGCAACGTGATGGCACGCATCGAGACTGGAAAAGGCCGGAGTATCCCGCCCCAGAAGTGCTTATGAACGACAAGTACAGCAAGGCCGCTGATTGGTGGACACTCGGCGTATTCCTATACGAGATGCTGACGGGCTTGCCGCCGTTCTATAGCGACGTGTTGGAAGAGATTCGCAACAACATCATCTCAAAACCGCTGCACCTGCCCGAGCCAATGCACGCAAACGCCAAGGACATTTTGGTCAGCCTTCTTCATCGGGATCCTGAACAACGATTGGGTGTCAACGGAGCCTCTGAGTTCAAACAACATACCTTTTTCCAGGATCTAGATTGGCAGGAGATAATTGAGCGAAGGACCGAACCTTCGTTTCAACCTGGCTATCGTGCGGGATCTTTTGAGCCTTATGGCGTCGATTATCCGCACATCCCTGAATTTGGGCAGCCTGAGGAACCTACCACCGCTGGGACTTTCTTGGGTTTCGATACGCATAGTCTTTCTGACTCCGGAAACAAGGCACTGAATACAGGAACAGGGGCCAGAGCGGCCATGAGCGTCGAAGAGAATCCCAACGCACCTGCAGTCACGGACGAGAACATTGAGCTCGACACAACTGAACAAATACGCGCCGCACTTGAGGTTCCATGGAAGTCCGACCGAGAAGACACAGTTGCGCACCTCCTCGAATCAAAAATAAATCTTAGCACACCCATCTCTGAGCATACGAGCGAGCGTACAACCATGCTAGCATGGGTTATTCGCCATGGAAGCCTCAAAATGCTGAGACTCATTCTCTCAAAAGCAGACGTCAAGAGTAGGGATCGTGTGAGCGTAACACTAGCACTAGGTCTAGCTACCAGGATGCGGAACATTCCAGCCACCAATATCTTGCTCAGCCATGGCACGCGCTGTGATTTCGAAGACGCAGACATTCCCGTTCTCGCCGACCTCGACGACCCCGATGGTGACACATTCCAAGATCCTTCCGATCCAAGAGATTTTACGCCAGCGCTCGTGAGTGCAGTGTTGAACCGTGATGTCGACCTTGCTCGGATGCTGCTCGCCCACGGAGCGAACCCAAACCTTGGCTACCATGGCGTTCGTTCTGGAATGCGCGGCCTAATCGCCTTCTCTTGCGGAAGGATCATCCAATTGGCGATGGAGCTGCGGTTGTTCGGAATGGCGCAATTGTTGCTTGAGTACGGTGCAGATATAGGGCTCGCGGCGCCGGTTTGGGAGGCGCGAGGGCATGATTGTGGAGTTGTTCCGAGGGCGGTGTATCAGAGAGTGACGGCGGCGCTGCGGGAAATCAGGTCGAAAAGTCTGGAAGAGTGAATGAATTGCCCCAGTGGAGTCATACAGAATACTAAGTAGTTCAAGCTAGGGTAAGATATTCCTATGTAAAACCCCAATTGCAGTGAGACCGAGCTTTCCAAACACTATAACTGTATATCACGAAGATAGTATGTGAGTGAAGGAGACCACGTCGCATCTTCGTTAGGCTGGACCCAACTGCTCTGGATGTTAGAAAGGCGGGTGGATCTGGAGCGAAGGTAGGTAGAATTTGCATTGAATCAAAATACTATTATCTAAGCTGATGATAGTGAGGGACCCCATACGCTAAATGGACGCGAATCTACAATCGCCTACTTCCTGCTCCAAATTTCTGGCTGGTAATCCTCATGCGTACTGTTATTCCCGTAGCTCATCTTAAACTCCTCCATTTCCTCTTCCCTATACACCGGCATCGCAGGTGCGTAAGCCTTCTTCTTACCAAGACCGCAAATACCGCCTGGATCACAAGAAACCTTTGGTCCACCCGCAGACACGATCGCACGCTCGACGCACCCTGCCTTGATCAAAAACGGAAGATTGAAGTACACATATGCAGCGTTAGACGAATCCGCATTATGCCAGTCCCATCCGGTTAGCGCACCGCATCCGTTTTCTTCCCTATGGAGGTCATCCTCCTTGATTAATTGAATGCCGTAGACCTCGAAGAGATAGAAGAAACCATCGTCGCAGAAGGTGCATTTTGCGGCAGGCGATGGGGGCGGAGTGGGGGGCGAAGGAGTAGACGTCGGTGTTGGCGGAGGTGTAGAGCTTGGAGGTGGATACATGGACGAGTAGAATGACGACACAGCGGATGGGTCCGCGAAACCTGATGACCAAGTGTCGTCGAACATTTCGTCGAATAGCACGGTCCCTGTGGCTGTGGCTGATGGGTCAGACGACGACTTAGAGCGATCCGGATCATTTGGGTCTCCTGGAGAGCCACCACCAGGGCCACTGCCGGGGAAGACACCGGGAGGACACCATGGACACTGTGGGTCACAAAATAGTACGCAAGGCTTGCCGCAGCCTTTGCAGCCAGGTTCGCTGCTTGGTCCAGGCGGCTTGCCGGATGTCCATTTTGGCGGTGTTGGGCCGGGATTGATGATGGGGTCTGTTGTTGTGGGAACAGTGGTTGGGTGCGGGTTCGGTATGACAGTCGTCACTCTTGGAGGGAGGACGATACCGCCTATAACGGTTGTCGAAGATCCGTGTGTATATGTTTCTGTACGTCCATGGTAGGTAATGGAGCCCCAAACGATGATGCCGCCCGAACTGGTGGTGGTCTCTGATGCGCCAATGATAGAAGTTGTCCCGCTGACGGTTGGGGTTATTGTGATCGTGAACGGCGGGGGCTGAACTGAACTGGTTAGGATGATATCACCGGTGGTCTGACCTGACTTAGGGATGATTATGGGCCAGACATCGATGGCAGTAGTAGTCACTGGACAGATTGCAATGTCAGTATGGTATCGTATGCATTGAACAAGTCACTTACCTGGAGGGATCGTAAGAACTGTCTCCCATGTTACATATATATACCATGGGTAAGTCGACGTAGATCCATCATCAAGAGTAGTACTCTTAGTTGTAAGACTAGAGTAAGTGACTTCCGTAGTCCACAGAGGGAAGATAATGACCGTCGGAGTTGCCAAAGGTTTCGGCGGCCAAATAAGCGTCACGCCTGGGCTCGCCGTAACGATCTTCGTCGCAGAAGCCCAGATATTGGGGTCCACATACATCGTGTGGCCTGAGGAGTCACCGTTCGACGCGTTCCCACCATTCTCTGATTGTAAGTCCACTGCCCAATCGGCATCGCCCAAGAAATTTAAGCCTGGGTAGAGAGCAGTTCGCGTCGCTTTGTTGTTGTCATCCATGTAAGCGACCCATTGTGTGCCGTTGAAGACAACTATATTCGAGTATGAACTTGCGTCCCAGTATTTTTTGGCGGAAGGATTTTGCTTGACGATCTCATCGATCTCGAAGTTCGAGATGTACCCCGCTGTGTCGGTGTATCGTCCTTTGTATGCACCGGAGTCCGGCCCGGTGAAGGTACACTGCTCCTGCCAACAGCCTAGTGATTGTGTAAGAAGAAGTAGTCAATTCAATGAGCAAGGGATAATGTAGAGCCGACAAGACCGACAGAAGAAAGAAGGTCACTAGAAGTGGGTGACTTACCTGCAGTACTCATTTGGAATGACCTTCCGTAGCTACTAACGCCCACGATCACCATGTTGGAAGGCACACCGGCTTTGGTGATCATAGACAATGAATTGATGGTCTCGGTGAGGTTCACGTGCGATCGCAAGCAATTGCCTAACCCTGCGTCGTAAGATGGGCAACCAGGCGTAGCGTACTTATTAGTATAATCCCACTGCCCATGCAAATCGTACGTCATATACACAATATAATCAACAACAAGACTCAAAGCTTGAATAGGGAAATACTGGAGGTACCAGTAGGAAGCAGGTGCAGTAATTGAGACGGTCTTTCCTGCAGGCATAGCCTGCTTGAGCTCGTCCAGAAGCAGGAAATAGCCGATTGACTCTTCCTAGGCCCCCGCAGGGATTCCAGGGATGTCGGGCTCGTCGGGATACTCCCAGTCCCAGTCGATTCCATCGAGCTGATAGTCGTTTAGGAATTTAACGACGTTTTTGATGAGTGTTTGTCGATTTGCTGAGGAGGTGACGGCGTCTCGAAAGATGGTGTAGGTGCTTGGATCTGTGGAAAATGTCCAGCCTCCGACTGATACAATCTTCTTGATACCCGACATGCCTCTCAAGAGCGGCAGTTGGTCCGCGACGTCGGATGAGTTCACTGACAAGTCCTTGTTTAGAGTGATGAATGAGAAGTGCACGTGTGTGTAGACTGAGGTATCGATGTTGTTGACTGGCATGCGCAGACCGGGCCGCTGCCAGTTGAACGCTTCAAAGTAGGCGATTTTGTAGCGTGCGCCAGGAGCAGTTGAAGTTACGATTTGTGTTCCACAGTTCGAGATACAGCCGTTGGAGCCGGGCGCTGCAGTTCCCGGGGCTCCAGTGCTGGAATTGGAGGGCACGCAAAAGTCACTCGTTGTTCCGCATTGGCCCCAAATGTTGCAGCATGCATTGAGCGCACACGTACTCAATGTGGTGAAGTCAGTTCCGGCTGGTGCCTTGGTAGTATTTGGCCGTTGAGGTCCACAGACAGCGTTGGGGACCGGAGCAGGCATTGGGGGATACCCAGTGCTCAAGCATATATTGTAGTCAGCGAAGAGCTTCTGGCAGCCATTCCAACCCCAGGTCTTCTTATTGAAGCTTTCTATTTGGTCGTTTGTAAGATCGTTAGCAGCTCCAATGGATGCACACGAGTCGCCCGTCCTCACGAGGTAGGTGGCGCAGTAACCATCCGCGCCAGGCTTGGGCGTGAAGTCTGGGAGAGTTCCCGAACTGCAACAAACATGCTGACCGGGCTTGAGACCTGAGCAGAGACTTGAGCTAGGATTGTACTTTGTGAAGTCTGAGGCTAAAATACCACATTCGGCAGCAAGAGAGGCGCACGTGTCCTTTTCTTGAACCTGGATTGTGCGACAATCGGCACGAGCCTCCAGAACATCGGTTGACTTTCTTAGTAATGGCGTTGTCTGGTTGCTCATTGTGACGTTGGGGGTGGATGGGTTGCTGTAGAGCGTGGGTGCATAGTAGTTGACTTCGTGCCATTTTGGGTTTCGATGTTGCATGTCCGTGACGCAAGTGCTGTTCTTCCACGACTGAAGTTGACGTTGGACCGAACCAAAGTCACTATACTTTGTGCTTATAGCCACGCCCATTGAGTATCTCGAAGTATAGTTAGTACAGAGTTGCACCAAGAGATTCTCTGCGACGCTGTCATCGCTGGTAATTTGCGCCTTGAGTGCGTCGAGTACACTGGCGAGAGGCCCTTGGTTTGCAAGTCCGGAACCCACATATATTCCAGCGACCACGTCGCCTGAGTAGGCGAACTTGACAGTCTCGTTGCACCCGAACGTTGAAGTAGTAGACAGAGCACCTAGTTGGCTTAGAGCCAAGATGGTGTCCTGAATTGAGGCCGAGGAACCACCTGAAGAGGCCAACTCTACCGAGGATGTGATCTCGACTTGGGTTACATTGTTTGCTAGACAAGATAGAGAGGCTGGTGCCAAAAGTTTCGAGAATTTAGCCGGTGCGCTTATGTCTGCTGTACATCCAGATATCTTGACTTGGGGTTTTTCGACATCCAGCTCGTTGAAAAGGGCGAAGTCCAGAAGCATGGCTTTACCGCATGCCTTGAGATGGTCCAAATCGCTAATGCCATAGTTGTACCAAGCGGTGGCGTTGCTACCCGCCTCGCGACAGCTCCGAGGACATTGAAATCTTGGCTGGTGATGCACGCGAGAGGTATAATCTCCGGCCGATATAGCAGCGCGAGCATCTGCTAAGTCGGTAGGCATACCAGGGATGTTTCTAGAGGCGGTACTGATTGTTACAGATGCCTTTATCGCGCTTGCTGCAGCCTCGGCCGCATGCTCCGCGGTGATGTTGACATTAGCAGCGACTGCCGGCGTGCTCCATGTGTTTGCTAGCGAAACAACGATAGACCATGTTCTTTTCTTCATGGTGGAAGATGAGGAGGAGATAGGAGAGATAATTGAGGGTACGTATAAGGAGCTTGGTTCAGTGGATGGAAGTCGTCTTCCTCAGGACAGTTCACCCCGCACTTCATAGAGTATGATATCGAATGTAGAGAAGGGCCACAATTCTGGGCTATGTACTCAATCTTCCATTCTATCGAAGAGCCCAAAGACATGCGCCGTAGCGAGATGTGCCATCGGTCTTTCCCGTGTGGTACCCACATCCCATAGTGAGCCCAGAACATTACTCTTTCCCTACCGGTAACACAAGAACCCTTCATGAACTGTCAGGCTCTCCTATAGGAAGACGAACTATCGATTATGTGCATGCATGTGGTAACGTGAGGCTGACTTGAAATGGAGGCATGATTCGTAGTATCGGTGATAGTCAACTTAGAATCTACTAGGGTTCGATCATACCGCTGCATGCGCTAAATTATATGGGGGCGTAAACATGCCCACTGCCCTGCATAAATCGACGGCTTTTTTTTTTTCTAAACCGTACATGGTGCACATGGACATCACCGATTAGAAAAGAGCAGTGTCCTGCAATTTACAGGGCTATCCGCACGAGCAATATGACTTGAATATGGATCATTGGCCAATGACGAACGTTTAGTAGCCGGTAAGTGCGGGTGCCGGGGGCCGGTGTAGAAATGCAGGTGTCCGATTACATGGTCATTGGCACTACGAGGTGGCTGACACACCTATACCTATTCCTAAAACGGGGTTCTCCCTTGCTTGGAAGGCATGTGAACAAGAAAACAAGAAACCATCTAGACGACGAGCACTCCACGAACAATCAATCATCACTTCAACCAAAAGTACATTATCATCTAATCTAACAAACAGGATTCCTGTATAGTTGAGGCACAGCCGCATGGCTCTTTTCCTGCACGTAAATTGCTGCAGGCATAAGGCATAGCATCGGCGAGGCCGGTGTAGAAATACAGGATTCCTGTATAGTTGAGGCACAGCTGCATGGCTCTCTTCTTGCATGGCTCTCTTCCTGCATTGCACTTTCCTCTCCCCTTACTGCTGCACGTAAATTGCTGCAGGCATTGCGGCTTTGCCCTATTACACTAGCTATAATATATGCTGCTTAGCCTTACCTTTTATAACTAGGTTAGCACTAACTATGAACGCTAAATAGATAGTTTAACTAGTTAGCTATTAATAAAACGTAGGCTAGACCTTTACTAGCACATTAAGCTAAGTTAGTATTACTGCCTATAAGGGTGATGCCGCAATCGCTAGTGACTATATTCTAAGCTTTCAAAGAAGCTTTTTAATTTTTGCGCATCGAGTTTGCGCTTGAAACTAAGCCTTTATTTTATGTTCACAGTGCGCGTCGAGCATTTCACCACCATCATAATAGGATTGCATAGTTGTGATTTACGGAACATAGATACGTTCAAGACTTCGTACTCCTACAAGACGAATGATCTGTTATTGGCTTGTAAACTTGAACCCAGCAACATGCAAATAATTGCTTCATGCTCAGGTAGATCTATTTCACGTCCGAAGCTTTCTTGGGGACACCTGCAGGAAACAAGACGGCGTCCTTGCCCTGTGGCGGATTGAGAAACATGTAAGTTGCCATAGCCATATAGAGGTACGACTCCGGGTTATCTGCATTGTTTGCTGCTTGTTGCCTGGCAGCCATGTAAATGTGGATCATGTGTCCTTTCGAAGCGAGCAATATGTTAGCTACGAACTCGATTGTGTACAGTAGCGCAAGGGACATGACTTACGGTATGGATCAGCTGTGTCGCCCACGTCCGTCAGGTGGTAGAGCTCGTGGTAAAATGTACCACTAACGGGTATGTATTTCTCAATGTTTGGTTGACCTATATTCCAGTCCCCCCCATATGGGGGATAGTAGCCCGATGAAACAGCCATAGAGAGCGAAGGGAAGGAATGTTGGCCGCCATTGGGTGGAGAGAAAGAGTTTGGGCAAAATATAACGTTTCGTGTGGCTGAAGTTATGTCTACTTGTGGGACGAGAGGGTTTCCGGCGGCGCGATCGATATATCGACTAGTTGCAGCATAGCGGTTTCCGTCCCCACAAAGGCTGTTGTATTTGTTGGTATAAAAGTCGTAGCCTTTGAATGCCTCCATATAGAAAGCTTTCATGTCGGGTGTGCTGGCTTGCGTTTGAAACACCTGTCTGAGTGTATAGTAGTCCTCTGGTTTTCCATCCGGACCGAGTTTGCTCGCTATCTCTTTGCCGTTCTTATCTTTGATGGGTTGATCCCATTGCTGAAGCGAACCGGCCATTTCAGAACAAAATATCCAGGGCTTGAAACTGGCAGCTTTCTCGAGATATTGGGTGACTCCGGCTATGCGCTCTATTTGCGACGATCAGTTACTTAGGTCAAAATACCGCGTTGGATGCGTACTCACTTCCGATTGCGGGCCACAACATCTTGGTCAAAAGATCATCCATGTCCACGTCATTTCCATCGAACTCGATGCCGAAAATGAACTCCCAAGTCTGTCTCAAACCTTTGTCGGATTTATAATTGCTGTACGCTTTCACAATTGCGTCCTGCAATGTTATGGCATCTTTCAACCACGCGTTCACAGTGTTCATCTGGGCACTGCAACCTCCAGGTGTCGACGAATCTCCGACGGTGAAAACATCAGATATCTGACCGGCGGAATTATCGGCTCCTAACCCTCCACCAATCCTAACACGACGCCAGAAGGTATTGTCGCGTGCCTGCAAGGTAGTAGCATGAGCGTCTTCGCGGTCCCCCAAAGGACAGGCGTTACTGATGTTCAGAAACCACGAAGAGAGGATGCAGAGGCTTGAAGACCACCGCATCGTGAGGATGGTAAGATCAAAGTGAGGATACGAGCTTGGTCGATGGAATAGTTCGTAGATGGTGAAATCAGACGCGCGCAGTCTCCGGACCTTTAGCTGGGAAAGGGAGGGTCCTGGATACCCGAATATTTCTTTGAAAGGTCTGCTATACCTATGGAAAGAATTCAGCTGAGTATACTTGGAGCACATAAGCTAGCAGGGGTTGTCGTGATGATGATGATCCTAGCTAGGAGTGGGTGGTGAAGGCGGGCTTGTTCAGGTGTCCAATGGCTTCTCGACGTGTGCATGCGCGGAGGAGCTTTGGGCGACGGATAGGCGGCAGCCACCAAGGGCTGGTAGGCTGGTGATAATGTTGGGGGGAACGGATTGGTCGTGGGAGCTAGCGGCTCCGAGCAAGTACGGCGAAGCCTCAAAACGGTGCTTCACCCCGATCGTGCACATGATATTGAATATGCTGGCGGTAATTCCGGAATGGGTTTATGCTTCAGCTTCTAGATGTCTCGATTGTGGATGGAAGCATTGAAGTGGCGTGCATTAAAGCAGAGTCGGCTGATTCCTGGGGCAATTTAGAGCTTACAGTCTCGATGTTTGTGCTAGAGCGGGGCACTCAGTTACATCGCTTGTAGCTTCGTTACGTCGGCTCGTTTCAAGTGACTATTTGATTGAATCCTTTAAGCAGGGTTGATGGAGCCCAACTTTAGGTGTAGATGGAAATATCTTTCCGCCACGCATTCTTGTAACATTGCGCAGGTATCCAAGATTTATCTGGTCACTCACTAGATCTTTCCGAAGCTCCAGACACCACATGCACTTATCGGGTAGCAACCGAGTGAGAGGTTGACTGGCCATTCGACAGAATCTACAAATTGTCTGAAGCCTTGCACAGTCTACTAAACGCGCAAGGATACACTAAGCTGACAGCAAGGCTGATTTGGTTGTAGGGATGATGTGTCGCTTTCTGCTAGTTCGGCGCTCGTGCATTTCGGATGGCACCAAATGAGCAAGGGTGGACAAAGCAGACATTCGAAAGCGATTTCATTGATGCAAATGAGGCTGGCAGGCTTAGTGGAAGTGCCGAAAGCGGAACTGGTGGTTTCCCCTCATCTGCAGGGGAACTGCAGGGGAACTGCATGCGAACCGGAACCGGGCCACAGCAACAAGGATACGAGGAGGCGAGCTTACTGGGTATGCAATATTCACGCTGTCAGCAGCCCAGGCTTACCCGAACTTAGTACGATACGGAGGCGACGTAGTATAAGAACCATAAAGTCCAATCAAGAACAATATAGCTACGCCGCCTTTTGCTAAGGATCAAATTCGTTTTCCCAAGCGGGTTGGGAGTCAATATGTAACCCGTAAGCCTCGAAGAGCTTTCAATCCTAGGGTACGGGAGATGCTGTTGCAGGACTAATGCGCCGCGACGCGAGCATATTACGTGCAGCCTAGAGTTTGTGCCGACTCAGTTGGAAATGGGAACCCAGCCTCGGCTACCTCTGGGATTTCACGATTCATGGCTGCATGCATATAATAGATTTGACTTCTTCTTTCTGATAAAACGTCTTAGGTGTCAAACAGCACCGAGATACTGCGATGAAGATGTTCAGGTCCATCGCCTCTGCGCTTGCGCTTATCCTCCCGGTCGCTCAAGCCTACCTGGTAGGTCCGCCAGGAACACCTGCGCCTGGAGCAACCTCGAGCTGTAGCGGATGGGCTCAATCATCATGGCATGACTTGTTCAATCATCGAGCGCTTGTTTGGCATGACAGAGGCCCAGTTGAAACAATGGGCAAGTGTACCCTTATCCTGATAGTCTTAGGCTGACTCTAGTGTAATCTAGAATCCAAGCATTAGTCTACTAGGAGATGGATGCAATCTTATACAAGGTCTGTATTACTGTGTACAAGTGGATTTCGTTTCCATATCCGTTTCACCTTTTCCTACGCCTACGCCGCCGCCAACATCTACGCTCATCACACTTGTGACTACCACTTCTTCCAAAACCGGCAATGGCATTGCGACGCCAACGCCAACTCAGACTGGCATGATAAGTAGTTGTAACAAGTTCTACAAGGTACCTTCGAAACCACCCTGTAGTCAAGTACGTCACGATTGCTAATCCTGTTCCAGGTGCTCAGTGGGGACGGATGCTACAACATCGCCACTGCCAACGGCATCACTCTCGAAAACTTTTACGCATGGAATCCCGCTGTGGGGAGCATCTGCGGGTCACTCTGGCCAGACTACTACGTCTGTGTTGGGATCATAGGCTCATCGTCTAGCACTAAGAGCGTCATTCCGACCACCACTAGCCCAGGGAACGGTATCACGACACCAACCCCCGTTCAATACGGCATCACAAATTCATGCACGAAATTCTATTTCGTAAAAAGCGACGACAACTGTTACAACATAGCTCAGGCAGAAGGCGTTGCATTAAATGACTTTTACTCTTGGAACCCTGCAGTGGGCAGCAGTTGTGGCACCCTCCAGCCAGACTATTATGTCTGCATCGCTGGCCCTAAGACGGCGACTCCCACCCCGACTCCTACGAAAGGCAGTACACCTACACCTGTGCAGAGTGGTATATCGAAAACGTGCAAGAAGTATTATCTTGTGAAGAGTGGTGATGGATGTTACAATATTGCTCAAGCGGCAGGCATTACGTTGGATAACTTTTACGCTTGGAACCCTGCTGTTGGGAACGCTTGTGGCTCGCTCTGGCCGGACTATTATGTTTGTATTGGACAGTGATGTAAGGGCGATGAGATAGTAAGGTTAGAATCCATTTCCTGCGAAGAACTTCCCCAGGAGATGTATTCGGCGCCTTCAAGGCTTGCGCAAAGCAGGGTTGACGGTCGTACACCGCAGCAGGCTGGTCAGGAAGGTGCAGAGTACTTCCGCGTTGGATTCGATCTAGTCGACGCTTATGCTGGTTCTGTGCTATTAAGCACTACTGTGCTCTTCCTACATCTGGTTTACTACATAGGTTATCATTCAGTCATCTATTACTTGATAGCAGACATTGGCAGACATTGGTGAGGGTAAGAAGGTTGGTCTTGTTCTTACATCTCGTGTCGGTCTACCTCACTCTTCATGACCTGTTCGGCCCGGCGTCACCGCAGTACTGTATTTAGTCCCACCCATTAATCTGTAAACATTGATGGCTGGGCTGGGTTAGCATAAGTAGTCCATTTTGATCGTCTTATTCTAAGACAATTAAGCACCACTACAAAGCAATCGTTCGAGAATAGCGTGTCTATCCATCCTGTAGTGGAGTACGAATCAATTCTTCTATAAATACAGGCTTCGCTACGTACAAGGTCATACAGGCCAGTACTAAAACCCTTCAACATATCCAATCTCTTCAGTAAACTACTGCATTACCCCTCTGGTCGAGACTATCCGCCATCATGAAGCCTACCATTCTTTTGTCAACAACCATGATTGTTCTTGCGACTTCCAAGCCGCTCACGAGCCCCGGACCAATTCCCAGCGACTTTTAGGTACACTTAGATCTGAAGCAATGTCTCGCCAATGCCGGCACCTTCTCCCAGCCGAGGTATGTCCTCATCTAGATCTATTAAATCACACTGCTAACGCATACAGACTTGGCGCCCATAAGGACACAGCGAAGGCTGTCATCGATGGTTACAATGCCTGGAATATCGACAGGATTCTGGCGTATCGGAGACCTGGTTTCCAGCACCAAGTCCTCGCGTCCTCCATGGGTCGCACGGCGAAGAGTAACGACGAGAACCGCGCATATCTCACCACCATCATGCCTCTATATTCAAATTTTACGTTAAGTGCGTTCCGGACCAGAATTACAGGGTTATGGTTAAAGCGCCCGCAGGTGACAGTCCTGGAGGAGATATATGACGCAGAGACGCACACGTGTATCATACATGCTTCAAGCAAGGCGGAGACGGAGATCGGGCAATATGGAAACGAGTACGCTCTCATATTGACATTCACAGAGGACGGCAAGCACGTCACCAGGTTTGAGGAGTTTGTCGACTCAGCTTACTCTGAGCGGTTTGTTGCAGCGCTAGCCAAAGCAACATCATCTCAGTAGCAGAGTCGTGGTTTTACGAGTTTTCGGACGACCCTTTCAAGATATCCTGTCCATATTTGCCCTTCAGGCGCCTGCTTGCTGCCCATTTCTGTCAAGTTGCACGTTATACTAGCCCAGGCGATTGTTCCTAGTGATATGGACTTGGGGTCGGCGTCTTGCAACAGTGGGGAAGTACAAGGAGCGGTTGATCAGATATGGACCCATGGGACTATTCGTAGAGAGATACTCTACAGAGAAATCGATGGAGTTACTGTGGATGTACTTCATTCACTCAATCGAAGTCTCGCTAGAAGAAACACATCTACTAGAGCTTCGCACTACACCACTAACAGGCTCGAAGGTAGAACAATATTGCTGTGCTTTCTATGCATCGTCTTCAGTGACAATTAATGCTTGCTAACTATCCAGCGTGTTCAGGCGGACATGGCGTGTTAGCACAACCGTGATACTCAATTATGTAACTTAGTGACATGCTACCTAAAATTTCATGTCATGGGGTGCCATAGGCTTCCCATGCGCGATTTTCAAGCTTCCTCTTCGGTACCAGCACGACTCATGTCAATGGCAACGTTAGATTCGGTATCTAAGACTATGGCGTTCTCAGAACCCATTATTTAGGGCCATCTACAGTATGCTCCAATTGCTGTGGGTGGCTTTGCCCTATGGTACTAGGTATTCACACCTCTCTTCCGCTGCTCATTCAGTCGAAACGCTTTTCCTTTCAGCATCGTCTCCGTTTTGGAAAGATTCATCAGCTTCGAGTGGCTGCTTTAGCGGTACCACTAAGGCTCGATATGTTCGTGTCCAGTAGTCTGGTCAGCTCCGAATTGAGTATGGCAATCAGCCCATCAATTTCCTCCGTTCACTAGCATCCATGCAGCTTCTTTGTACGGGGATGCAGGATCGTACGTGACGGGTCAAATACTTCCTCGCAGAGAGTGCTGACAGTTGGCGTCCCTATCCGGAACCTCACATAGCACATTACATCTGATGGTGATTAGCTCTTGCGATAGTATAGCGTGGAGTGACATTGAAGGAGCAACGATGTTCATGCGCGGCTTGCCAGGCCTGAAACTCGGTTAGTGGCATCCAATATGATTTTTTCCAGCTGAGCGTGCTGCCAGATGTCGCTTCGATGCTCCTTGCAAGGTAGACCAGAGGCTAGAGAGAGCAGTAAAGGCGGTCAGCGTTATCCCCATTCACATCTGCTTCCCTGTTCCTTTACGCTCAACACCGCCTTTGGTCAAACATAGCGCGACCCATCGCCCATCAAGATGATCTGTTGCACCATCCCTCGCATCTTGCACAATTTCAGCGGAGATTTTTGCTGGAAATGAATCATGGTCTATAAAGACATGACTAGATGCCCGAGATTCGTTTCCTTTCACATTCAATCATTCTCCGCATGCGCCGCTGAAATTTCACTATCAAATTCCTTCTAGCGATAGATGTAAAAAAAATATGCGGATGTTCCTAGGTATCTTCATCGGAATCTCACACGGATTTCTAAAACATCAACGTAAGCTGCCAACACCTTGTCCGGATCAAAGCCTCACCGGGCCAATCTAGTTCCTCTTCCTGGCACTCCAAGCCCGAACTGTGGCCACGAAGAACTCTGGAGGTTTCAAAACGACTTCTGGTCAAGGTTCCTATACCCAGCCAATCGAGGAGGCACGATCTATAAACTCGACCATATTCTCAGCCAATGTATGCCCTACAATGTATCCTCATGACTGATTTACTGATGTGCTATAGTTCCAAGGCCGTGTCTCCGATAGCCGTACATTCGACGGCGCTAGACTCAACACCGAGTACATATTCGGCGTTTTCACTCCTTCGTCAACCTTTAGCTTGTTTGGGCAGCCCACATCCTACGAAATCCTTCATTTCACCGCCAATCAAAATATCGCAAGCTCGACAACGCGAGTGGACTTTTCGATTGCAAGCTTTCATAATACATCCGTACCCGTACTAATTGATATCTGGATGACGTGGGATGAGGAAAAGCGGATCAATCAGTATGATGTAATGTTTCGCTGGTGGGGCTTCTTGTTAGACGAGCTTCTGAAGAGCATACACGAAGACAAGGAAGTTGCAGAGCGCCTAGTCCTGCAGGAGCTAGTTACATCCATCTGCGACACGCACACGACACATTGCACCAGATCCAACGTCCAGTACCCCTCACGGGACGCTTGCATGTCATTCCTGCTCGGCGAAGTCCGCCTCGGCCACTCTTGGGAATTCGGCATGAACACGGTGATGTGCAGGGGCTTGCATCATGTCATGCTCAAGTTCCGGCCAGATGTGCATTGCAGTCACATCGGAAAGACTGGAGGAGGCATGTGTGAAGATGACCAGACGTATGTAGGTAAGGTCACGGAGAGCTACTTCACGAATCCGCCGTGGATCCCAGGGGACGTACCGAGGATTGATGGGCAAAGATTTTGCATGAAGACATAGACGTACCATGTAAGATTATATGAGCATTACTGGTAGCGTTGCCAAAATTTTGCGGTGGCTGTTCAATAGGTTTTCCTGACGGATGACTACCTTTTCTGAATCCATGATCAAAGACCATTTAGCAGATGATTTGATGAGGATGCGGGAGCTCAAAGCGCGACGATTGATATATAGGACACCTTGCTAGCTAAGGAAACTTATGTAGTATATACAACACAACGCGCACGGCGAGCGCCGCATAATGCGAACGCTAAAATTACTCCAAAGAGGTGATAATAAGTTTGGAAAGCCTGATGATTGACGAAACCGAGCCAGCTCTCTGTAGACACTTCCCCGGTGACCCTGCCTAAACTAACCTATAGTTGGTTATTGCCCACAAAAAATGACGTAAACCTCATCATCTGAATGAGAGGATCGTGCTCCGTCGAGCTTTGGATTACGCTGCGTTCCATACCGCATCAGCCATAAGTATGGCTATTGCCTGTCGCACAAGTAGAGACCTATCGCAAGATAGTTACGCCTGCGCAATGATGCATAGGTCATCCGGAGGACACGGCATGTTGTCCGCATGTCAGATTCGAGCACTGTTTGGGCCCACTGAGATGGGGTTCTGAGGAACAAGATGGATTGATGATGATGTTGTCTTCTGCTGTTGACGCGCAGGCTTGAGGCCTATTTTAGAGCATGGGGGCCGATAACGTGCCCTTGTTCGGCAACTAGGGGCCAATATGACACCACATATGCCGACTGGACACGGTGTAGCAATGTAAGCAACGTAAGGGTTGCTGCGACAGTGACGCAATTCCGATTCTGTATGGCATCTAGTCTGAACTTATGCTCACGCTCACCCAGGTCTGGCGTAGCAATGTTCATTATTACTATGCTGATGCCTATACATTACTGGTGCCAGATTACACTGTGATGCTTAGGTCTCTTGTCAGATTAAGCTGTCAGAAACTCATGGTTAAAAGGAACGTTAGTAAAGAGGACAATCAACAACTTACACCCATCATTAAGATACTAATCAACGTGACGACCTCATCATCATTCTATCTAACAACTACCAATATTATATATTTTCTCTGAGTTGTTATATCCTAGAATATAATACGTGTTACCATATGCCGAACCTTGCTAGGTTACACTGGCGCTCCGAAGCAGTTACTGTCGCAGTTTAATCTACGTTACTATCGATCGTATTCGGACCGAGTGCGCATGGACTCCTGAGGATCGCGACAATCGTTATAATTCAGCTACTGAATCAGGAAACTCTGAATAAGTCAACTCCCCTACGATCGCCTCACTATGGCTATATAGTTCAGTTAGAATCACAGTAATACAACTTTAGTGAACCTTTAATATTTCCATTGCACGATGCCTACGGTCCTAAAACCGTCACAGTTACTCTATAAGGGAATCCCTATTGCGGAGAGATCTCCTAAGCGCACTACCACGATGTCTACCAGGTGCATAGCTCTAGCACTTTCTTCGCGCGATATCTTTACCACTTGCTCGTGGGCGGACTCCGAAAATCTGTGAAGTGCAATCCTGCGAAACGAATGAAGAGTAGAAGCATCCATTTTGCGCTGTTTAACCAGGTTTTGTTTGCGATTTCGCGATGTGGTTCACAGCTTTATCCTAATGGTTGGTCACGCCTGCCTAGTCGTTTATGTTAGAATGCTAATGCAAAGTACACAGGAAGGGTGCATTGGTACCTTATGGCCGTGTCTCGGAGCTGACAAGATATGTTGTCGTCTGTTGAATAATCTTTGCCCTGCTCGAGTGACTTCTCTCCTCCCATTCCTCACCATTTGCCCCACTGGTAACCTGCACCCTGTAGAACTGTTCTGGAATTCGCTGGCTTACTGTGCCTGGGTCACTGTCTTTATTCAATTTCCAATCCTTGTTGCGATCCAGAAAAAGCCCCTTTTTCAGGCTTCTGCGCTCTTTTGATTGCCCCGAGCCTATTGAATTTATGTTATAATAGTCTCTCGTTGCTCTGCCGTACCGTCGTCGTATGTCATCATTCCCTATCATTCCAGAATTGATGCTTTGGAGGAACGGTTTGAGGTAGGGTCCGCATGCTGTGACTATACTAAGAGTCTGTATGATCTGGACAGCGAGGGCGAACGTCCAAGAGAGGAAGGGATCTTCAGATCGGGTATACATAACCACTAATTGCGTAATTATCGCCGCGATGATGCTAATAAAATTAGACAATCTCATAGAAAGTACTGGGGGAAACTTGCAGTAAGCGACTCATGTAAAATCCAATTGTGATGAACTTTCGCTTTTGGTCGATCCGTAGCCCCAAAATAATGAAACTTGGAAAAAAAGCAAGTATTAAGTCTAGTAACGTGTTGATCACTTCTACGACAGTATAGAATCTTATCCGGTGGATGCATACGTTCCCAACAAATTTCCATGTGTGCGGAACGTTGCATTGGAAGCCGAAGCCAAATACTGAAGTCAGCATACAAGCACTGACTACCCACATGAGAACACCAGATATAAGGCGATGAGTGCGGTCGGGTGTCAGCGCGAAGAGGAAGGCGATGATCGATAGCTTTGTGAAAAATTGACTGAGCACGAACATAATCATGAAGGCGAAGATTGCCTAGGTGTCCCTTTAGCAACAGTAAACTACCAGGAGGTGATACGAGTGACTTGCCTTTTGCTGTGCGTCGAGTTGCTCCACTGTCTCCTTGCCCGTGAGACAGCCCAAGCCATTCTTCACACCTATGGACATAGCGACCGTTTCCCCAATAGATATGAACTGTTGGTATAGTTACTCTCCCGTAGATCAGTTTGGATATATAATTCTGTGACCTAGAAATACTTACGGTCGCAATGACTATCGCAATGTCGTCAAATCCTACGGTGCGTGAAATGGCCTGTCTCGTGCCCAAACGCGTGAACACAGTTAAAACGATGACCGTGATTCCAAACCATCCTACAACATTCAATAACGACGTGTAATCGTTTTCGACGACCCATGGATGTGAGGGAGTAAATAGAACTGGCGAAGCTGTAGGCTCTAAGGACATTGTTGAGAAAAGCGAAGGGAACACACGGGACTGAGCTAATTCTTAAGAGAAACTACAGCCAATTTGGGAATGAACTACGTCTCCAACAATTAAAATAGATCAGGTGTCTTGTTGTCTTTATGGATTAGAATACCTTAAAATTCCCAGAAGGGTAAGCTCAGGCATACTGAGCCGCCGTATCACTCTATGGAGTGATAGAGTGGGGGGTATTACCCCTTGGGGAACACAAGCCAGCTGAGCGCTCACCGGCCTTGTGATAGATGTAAGGGATATCTCTATCCTTTTCTAGTCGCATGAATTTCAACGTCAGTCTTTACAGCTGGCATGAGATATCAATCTGCAAAGATTTGGAATGCTCACACGCGCTAGTGCCTCTCCCACCACGCTGATGTTACGTTAGCCCCGATAACATGGCATGGCTTATTTTTGAGTTCTTGTGCATTGTTGCAGCTAGGTTGCCTCTTTTGAGGAGACTAGTTCTAGAACACTACTTTGTGCCACATTCCTTGAAGGGCGGTGTAGCCCCAAGGTCACCTGCTACTTACCGAGGCATACAGTCGGCCTGTCCCACAAGTGACTACTGATTTTATATCACATCAGGATATATTTGTGACGCTTGCATGTTTGTACTTGGGACTCCTATTTCCTCTTTCATATATCACAGCTGAGCTCAAACCTTGCAAGACCCTTCACATTCTTCTCACGGTCTCGTATTTCTACTGTAGTCTAGACCATGCGTAGCGAAGATATGCAGCTCGATACAATGACAAATGTTGGTGGAGAGGCGATGGTGGAGGTCCCTCTACATCACGATCGTGATAACGCCGAGCTCACAAGACTGGGAAAGAAGCCAGTGTTGAAGGTTCGCCCATCTCTTCTTCTCCCCTATCATGGTCAATTATACTGCTAAAGTAGTCTTTAGCGAAACTTCGGATTTGTTTCTATGTTGGCATTTTCTTGCACAGTAATGGTAACGTGGGAAGGCGTTTTGCTGTAAGTGTGTCAAAATACCAGAGACACATACTGAATCCTCGAAGATCATTCGCCATCAGCTTCACGGATGGCGGTTTCTCTGGAAGCGTTTATGAGTACATCTTTGTCTGGATTGGGACACTTGCAGCGTTTTCATCGATGGGAGAGCTGGCGTCAATGTGGGTAGTTACGTCCATGAGCAGCTTGGGGTGTTGACCGTATGACAGGGCACCTACCGCAGGTGGACAATATCACTGGACTTCGATGCTGGCACCGAAATTCTGTCGAAAAATTTTCAGCTACTTCATAGGTACAAGCGTTTACTTTCCGGGTGGTGTGAAGCAAGCATCGATAACTGACCATACTAGGCTGGCATACTATGCTTGGATGGCATGCCATAGTTGCATCCGGATGTTCTGTCTGCGCCTATCTCGTTCGTGGCCTGATGATTCTAAGCAATTCTTCATACCGTCTGAACGCATGGGAACTCCTATTCCTCTACTGGGCAATCTTAGTTCTTGCACTGTCGGTCAACACTCTCATCAGCCGTCAACTTCCCAATATTGAAAGTTTCATTTTGATTCATCACATGTTCGGATTCTTTGCCATTTTGATTCCATTAGTATACTTTGCGCCGCATGGAGACGCAAAGGCGATATTCACGTCTTTCAACAACGGAGGAGCATGGCCGAACGACGGTACTTCATTCTTGATTGGCTGTCTGGGTCCCGCCTATAGTCTTCTAGGTAAGGCTGGATTACTCAGTACGATAAGGATCTGCAACTGCTAACATTATTGAAGGGGCTGACAGTGCTGCGCACGTATGACAACTTCCCCGTTTGCCTGCTGGAGAGGCAAACCACTGCCATCATCATTTGCTAACTAGATTAGATGTCTGAGGAGATCCGAAACGCTGCAGTCAACGTCCCGCGGGCAATGGTGTTCAGTATCCTCCTGAACGGTACCCTGGGTTTCGGCATGCTAATCTCAGCGCTGTTCTGCGTCGGCAATACGGACCTAGTGCTCCATTCTGCCACTCATATTTCCTTCATGGAAATCTTCCGACAAGCCGTTGGAAGCCTCTCCGGTGCCCTAACAATGGCTTCTCTAGTTACTATACTCATCATCTGCGCGAACATTAGTTTTGTCGCAACAGCGTCGCGCATGACCTGGGCTTTTTCTCGAGACCGTGGCACGCCTGGCTGGCAAATTCTGAGAAGGGTTGAACCACGTACCACACTGCCTCTCATGTCCATTGCTGTAACCATGATAATCGCGACAATCTTCTCCTTAATCGGTCTGGGCTCTACCACTGCATTTAGCGGACTCGGCATGAGTTGCCTATACACCTCATACTTTATCGGCAACACATTTCTTTTATGGCGGCGGCTCACCGGTTCCATCAAGCCCTATTCAATCAGAGATAAAATTCTTGCCAACACCCCCGAGGCTGATTACCTCACATGGGGTCCGTGGAAAATTACTGAGCCGTTTGGTACCATAATCAACGCATTCGGGTGCGCATATCTTTTCGTCGTCATGATCTTCAGCTTCTGGCCCACGAAAAACCATCCTCGGCTGGACAATATGAATTATAGTAGTCTAGTGTACGGTGCCTTTACTGTTATCATCGTTTTCTATTACTTCTTGTGGGGGAAGAGGACTTATACTGGGCCTGTCGTAGAGATTCATCGTGCGGAAGCGAGATGTCACTCTCGGATATATCGGCCGCGCCTGTAGCTTCTAGTGGACCCAGTATTCATTGGCAGTAGTATGTTCAAGCTTCGGAAAATAGGGGCGTTGAAGCAACAGCATCGTGGGCTACTTGCCCAGAGTCACTGATGAAGAGAAAGAGAGGCTGAGGTTAAATTATTATTAGATACGTGGTATGCGACGCACAGTCGACGTGAATGATGTAATTAAGGCGGTCAACATCCCCATGTCTACGCAAGGTGTACTTATTAACACCACAAAACGGTGTTAACCGTGACAAGCAAGTGCAGATAGCTAGACGTCTCACCATTCTCTACTTTTGCATACATAACTAATATCTACGTTCCTTATAGCCATATATCTTACTTTACGTATAAACTTCGCGCCTAGCAATGGACATTAATATAATTAATATCATTACTATTAAAAATAATATAAATTTCTACCCAAATAGAGATGTGTGCAACGTATACTACGTCCCTACTAAGGACTCATCCTTGTATAGGAGTTAGGAAATAGGTTCGAAATAGATTCTATATATTATTAGAACTCTTTTTTCCATACTATAACTATAGTAATACAATATCTTATGTTTTTTAATTCTATTATCCAAGAAAAAGATTGGAATAGCCACACTAGAAATAGGTATAGTAGCACAATCGGAATGTTACAAGGGGTTTCCACATACCTAGCCGTAGGTTCGGACCTTGCGGGTATTCAGTGATTCGAGCGTGAGGGATAACGGTACCAAAGAATATTGTGTGAGTATCCTATATTCGTATGGGAATACGATATAACAAATATTAAGAGAAGACTAATGATTTGTGATGGGCTACGCCCTGGAGGTCTTGTCTCGGCCCAGGACCGGCTGGGACCTCGGACCCGATGTTAGCTTCGGGGGGCAGATATATAACTTTGGTAGCAGAAGCTTGACTTCGACTCTTCGTGAATTCATAAATATTCATTCTGGCTATCTTGGCTCCTCGAGCATCTAGCCCATAATATGATTTGTATAAGGATGAGTGGCTTTAATTTAGATATAAAAGTAAGCTTTTGAAGCTAACTACGAAGAATAGGAAATGTTCAGAGAATGTCCTCGACTAAATACCAGTCGTCCCATCCTTCACTATCTTCCGATCCTTCGTCAAGATCCCGCCAAGTCCTCGAGGTCTCGTTTTATGCCGGGTCTCGTCACGTGATCCTGAGGTCCCGCCAAGTCCTCGCTTCTGCCGGGTGTCATCACGTGGTGTCGGTGTTTGCTCGTTCTGAGCGGCGTTGCTGCCGTTGGCTCTTGTTTCTCATCATCAGCCAAATCTAACGTTGCGCCATCTTCTGCCGATTCCCTGTCGTGCTTCTTTGTGATCGTAACACGGAAGGAGGAAAAGGAATCATGAGCAAAGGTGACTCGCAAATTCTTGATAACCATTCCAGAGTAGGTCAAATGTACAATGCGTCGCTATATATCTTGAGCATGAAGATCCCCAAGGTGGTTCCAAAGAAACTTACTACATAACGCCCACGACATTCCCTCGCTACATCCCCGCGCACCACTACGGAACCATCGGAACCGCACACTTGCCTCCGATTTGTCGAGTAGGATGTAGGGCAGGTGTTCCCGCATACCTTTACTCCATCGCAAGGTATATAATCTGTTGGAGGGAGCTTGGCAAGCAGTTCAGGGTGATCTATAGTATTATCACTGGAGTGTGGGAGAGAGCTCCCACGCTCCATATATATAGAGATATTGCCAGGTCTAAGCGCAGAACTAGCCATATACGTACAGGAAGCTCCCCGAGCATACAAGGGAGCTCCGCAGAGGGGCTGCCCAATGGCGTTTCACGTCACATAATCTCATTCAATTGGGGTCATCGTTTCAACGTGTCGTGGCATGATAATCGTGCAGTTGGTCAAATGTGTCGCCTACAACACCCTATCTATTCGGAGCCCACTGGAGCAGACGGTCAACCCATCCGGTTCATCATGATTATCTGAAATCCCTATGATACAGGATCAACTATGCGCTCTGTGTAAGTTACACATATACACCTCCGCAAAGATACGATAGGTCGATTTCGATTGCTGGATGATTACTGGAGTCTGTTCTGGTCCCTCGCCCTACGCGACTTCGCCTTGCCCCTTCGCCGTCCGAGGCGTTTCAAAGCACGCCACAATCTTTGCCGCCTACGTCCTGTTAGTACAGTGTATATTTTTAAATGTCACCAGTCTGGATGCGGACGCCTACTCACATCAAAATCAAAATCATCACCGAAGTGACGGGTATGCAAAGCCACCAGAAGTACGCGTCGCTGTTCTTTAACGTAGGGAATTCCTCGAAGTTCATGCCAAAGTAGCCAGCCAAGAAGGTCATAGGCAGGAACAGGATGGTGACAAAAGTCAGCTGCTTCATGCTCTCATTCTGATATGCGCCCATCGTGTTAAAAATCAACGAGATCATGCGGTCCGCGGAGCGGCGCATTCGCTCCAAAGACTCCAGCACCATGATGCAGTGGTCTTCAACATCGCTGAAGTAGGTATGGGCCAGCGTGGTGATGGTGATAGATCCTGTGGAGGGGTCCTTCGGTGCGAAAGGAGGTGGAGAATTAGCAATGGGAGACGAGGAGTCTCGGGATGATCCGGTTGTCTGAATGAGTGCATTGGAGTTGTGTTGTCGCAAGGCGTTGACTAGGCCCGAAATTGGAGCGATCTGCGATCGGAGGAGTGAGAGCTCTGAGGTGAGAATGTAGCTGCGCGGCACATCAGTGACCACTCGACAATGGGGCTGTTGTTAAGGACGACTAACAGGGCTTTTGAATGGGAAATATGCGGTTCCATCAAGACTTCCAGCTCCAGCTCTGCGATACTTTCTTCGTATGCGGTCGCAATAGGAATAGTGAGGTCGACAATACCGTCAATGATAGCATGCATGACCATACTAGCGTCGCCACTCCTTCGCAATACCGTCTCAGATGACTGCAGGCGTTTCAGGATTGGTTCCTCAATCACATCAGCGGAATGTTCGAAGAACGAGACAACTGTGTTGTCGCTCTGGAGAAAGATCGATACTTGCTCGACAGAGACCATCAAGCCTTTCGGAGCGAGGGTAGCATGAGTCTCCATGTACTTCGTTCTCTCGTCGTCCATATCGTGTCGAAAGGCTTGCAGTGTTTTCACAGAGCCCTGGTACTCAGTGGGAACCTGTCTTTCTCGAGAGGCGGGACCGCGGTTCTTAGTATCTTCCGGGCGGAGTGATGATGATCCACTAGCATCCTCGGACTTCCGAATAAGTCGTTGTAACGTCAACAGAACTATGCTTGATTAGCGCGCTATCTATTATGGACAGATTGAGTTCCTACCAAAAACATGTTCTGGAAACCAGTCTGCTTTTGTACGGTTTCTGGTATGCAAAAGATCTTCGATTGCGAGGCTGTGTAGTTTCTGCTTCTCTCCAATCATGCGCACTACATCCCAGCTTAGACCATTCACAGAATACCTGTTGATGGAAGCATATAGTCAGCGTGGATCCCACGCGTCACAGGAGTGACACTGAAAGAAAGGTCTTACCAGCGACACATAACCCAGTGTTCACGAGGCTTTGCGAGAAATTCTGCCAGAGTCGAGTTCGTGAGCTCGTACCTCTCGATGCGATCGGACGAAAAATCCACGATCGTTATCTGTGACTAGCATAACTTCAGTGAGATGTTATTTCACACAGGCGATGAAACGCCAAGTTGTGAGGGGGGTGCAAAAAGGGCATGTACAAACCTCGACTTTTTTCTGCCTCCATTCCGGCCATGCATCTTCATTCTGGATATTGATCCCGGGTTCACTTCCTGCCTCAGGCTCACGTGAAGCTTCAAGGCTGAAAGATCTTGGGTATTGCTTATGTGTCTTCAGACCCGCAAGACTCTGCAGTTCAGAAGCCCTACTACGAGCGAAAAATCGTCGAAATGAGGGTGCGCAGCTCTGAACGATCGGAAACGCGAGCGCATTGGACGGGATTTTGCAGGGATTCCAAGTCGATGCCACGGAACGCGCCACACGCCACGAACACGGTGATAGAATCATCACAAGTTATTGCGACATAGCTAGCATCATTGATATAGATGTTGTTGGAGCCGAACACGCGACCGGCGATGGGTTGCTTGATGCCAGGCGGCGTGCTTTCCGTCCCCGGTGGCTGGCGATGCCGATCGATCGATCCCGCACGTGCGCACCAGTGGGGAAAAGCGTCCGAGCTTCAAACCTTAATTCACTCTTGGTTCACATAAGTCCACCAACGCGCCTCTGGTTCACGATGTTATCGAAACTCAGTTTTTGCTAAAGAGGGTTTGAACCCACTAGTTACCAATCCTACATCAGTGACGATGCACATAGAGATAGATAGTCTAGCACGCACTTCTCGTCTTAATTCATGTAGCGCCTAGGTTAGATTCCTATTTTTATTCGAAGCAATAAAAGACGTTCCCATTGCTTAAGATACTAAAGCCTCGGGCTCACAAAAGACCACAGTCTAAGAGTATTTAGGTCGCTATGCTTGAAGATAGATGGGTAGAAAAGAGATGTCTTCGGTATTGTGAACAAACATTAGTTGGCTACTTTGTCGGATCTGTCCCGCCACGTTCCAAGAAACGACCAATTCAGGTTAGTTGAGCTCCAAGCGGAAATCAGATACTATTATCCTGCTCTGTGCGATGACTGCATCGGCAAGGGCCGTGAACGAAGGCTATCCTTGATTTGTGCGGGTCTGGAGCTCTTCCATAGATCTCCCAGGGCAGGCCCCGACACAAGATCAATCAATTTAACTTCATACAAGGCTGCACTCGTAACTATCGCCTTGCAGTCAACAGACATGAGGAAATTCATGCCATGAACGGCCGACGGTCGACTGGGACAAAACGTTAATTGGTCAGTGTTGTTTGCGATCCTCCAGGTACGGATGATATGATGTCCTACGTGCAAGCCTGACGCATATGCCTCCACCAAGATATTCATGCCATATCCGGTATTACATTTCCATCTCCCAGACAATCCACTCCCAGACGAAGCAGAGTATGCTGCCTTCGGCCGTATTCCTTGGGAGCTAGTCATTGGTTGGTACAACGAATTCAAGTTGCAGGGGAAGGCGATCACGGACGCCGCATACAACCCGAATCCCGGCTTTGATAGAGACCACTACAAAATTGGCCCGAAGTTGCGGACTTTAAGATAATAAAGAGTAATTACAGACTCGCTGGCTGGCCCGAAAAGAGCCCTAGATGGAAGGATGTTCCTTGGAAAAGCGTTAAAGATCCGGTGTGCAGCAAGCTAGAGGGGAGTAGTAGGACGAGAAAGAAGAAGGGGGGGGAAACATCAGCCCCGACATCGATATTATCGGGGACACCGAAAATACGCAACTCGCGACTAAGGACGGTGAAGAGATGCAGCTTCTTGCTAGGAGCCGGGGTGAAAGCAGGAGTTCGAGCAGGAAATCTTCGAGACTTGGCGGCAGCCGGAAACAGAGGTCCACGAACACGAAGAAACTGACCAAGAAGCCTACGAAGAAACCTGCATGAGACCAACAAATAAGCCCACCGAAGAAATGCACAGTCGCTATAAAAAAAAAGCTGTTGAGTGCGGCACTAACTGCACTGCAGCGATGAAAAGGGCAAGAAAAAAAGAAACAAGAACCGCAGCAAGTGCCCTATAAAATCACGCGGAATGCCTAGACTAACCTGCAATTGGCAGATGAGTATCTGAAGAAGTTTAAAGCGGGAACGCTTGGAAAGGGCGGCAAGTCCAGCTCGAGAAAGGGCAAGGAGGCCTAATCTATCTAAATAGTCTAGATACAGTGAGTTATCTTGAGAGAGATGAGCTTTGGCTTCACACGATGGATGGGGTTTGTGTAGTATCATCTGCACACCAAAGTAATCAGACAGCACTCGTATCTGGTCAAGCACCGCTCGTAATACGGGAAGCATGGCATTGTCTAGCGCGAGCGAGCCGTCCCTGTATCAGATTCGCTCACATACGTCACATCTGGATAATTGACCACAGGGTAAATCTTTCAAAACAGATTCAGTGTCTAATGTCGATAACCCAAGATCCGCAGCTTGATTCGTTGTGAGATTGCGAAGTCTACGTACTGGCTAATGAGGACCCGATGCACTATAATGAGCGCTCAATCACATGTTGGAAGCGTTAACAAAGGAAGACTTACCATGGAGTCGCGCATGGCGTAGGCCGGTGTTCGAGAGAATCGCAAGCGGCTCTTACTTCCCCGGAAATGGCACATGAAGACATGCTCCTGAGTCGAGGTTCTATGGCTACTGAAGTTCATTCTGCTTTCAGATTACTCGTCAGCACCCTTGAGCTTCTGATAACATTTCTCAAAATTGCTACTGTCTGGGCACGAGGATTCAGTTCTTACTCGTTCTCATGGTTACAGTGGAGCTTACCATGCATATTATAAAATTCTATTTCGACCAACTCGAAACTCGTCCTCCCTGATCCCTCAATGTCTTGAGTGATAGTCTTGGGGTTCAATGGAATTCCTGGGACAGAGGCAGGCGCCCGTACGACCGTACCCCATATATCCATGCCACTCCGGTTCCTTAGTTCCATGCGCGGATAAGGTCGATCCATATTATTGAAATTGATGTGGAAAGCATTCTCATGATTGAGGGAGACAAGTACCAGCGCAGGCACTTGATCACAGAGGTACAATGCCAACCTATACCTAACAGGGTCCTTGGATTGTTGTCGCCGTTGAGCCCCAAACATGGCGTCTGATGAATCCCTTGAAGATATTTCATTGACCCTCTGTGGCTCTTTCACTGTCTTGCTGCGAGTGTCTTCATCGATATAGATCTTTTGATAAGCGTCGTCTCGCAGCTCCCTTAGAATGTGGAGATGGCCATTGTGGACGTCCTGTTTCTCTTTGAAAAGTACCTCCCGTGCTTCTTTTTTAAACGAGAAATAGTTCCTACTTTTGATCTTAATCTTGCATCGACGAAATCGGAATTCCGATCCAATTTCAATATGCTGATGTGTTACTGCGCCGAAGAAATGATGGTAGTCAGCACGTCTGGCGAAATGGAACTTGAAGCCATCATGCATAGACCTGAAAGAACAATCCAGAAAACTACTGTTTGTATGAAGAACATTATTTTCGTAGATCTGGTCGGGGTCAAACATCGAAAGAGCTAAGAAATCTTCCGTTTTCACATTAGCGCAGCTTTGCACGATGAAGGTCTCTCCATCCGATCCAGAGAATTCGATTTCCAGTTTCAACTTTCCCGATGAGACATTTTCCCATAGATACAGACAGCAGCGTAAGGGTGAACTTATCCTCTCGGTGGAAAAAGAGGTGCGCAAATCCCTGAGATGAGAGTAGGTACCGGGCCCCGCAACGCTTCGATCCTGACGGTCCTGTAAAATACGGCGATCGATCTTTAAACCCAAAGATAGAGCGCTATGACATGCTTTTACAGTCATGGGAGCGCTTCGCTTCATTGAGAACATCTTCTGAAGTTGTTGAGCGACAATTTGGAGATATTCGTCAGAGGATTTGAGATAGCTGTCTAGTCGCCGGAGGACAGCTTGTTTCGTAACTTCGTCGTCATTCCGATCCTTGGTCCAAAAGCCGAAACCGATCTCTTGGTCCCTCTCCTTCCGAAATTTGACGGGACTATCGTCGTGCGGGTGCCTAACCAAGTACGCTAACAATTCAGAAGCTACACACGCCAAAGACCAGACATCGTAATCTCTGTTCCACCATTTTTGCTTGACCAGATTGTTATTCTTCTCAGCTTGCATGGCTTTTAACTTGCTGTAGCCATCTGGGGGAGCGTACATGCGTGTTCCCGGTGTAGTTGTAAAGTTCGTTTCTTGCTCACGTTCGACGTCCAGTAGTTTGAAGTATGTTAGGCCAAAGTCAGTGAGCAAAAATCGACCTTCTGCGGTGATAATGATGTTTCCAGGTTTGATGTCGAAATGCGCGCCGACCCACTTCGATTTGGCATCGGTGTGTAGGGAGGGCAGCAGTGGTTCATGCACATTGGCCACGGCATCAAAGATGTCCAACAGACCCACCCATAGCCAGTGATCGAGGATAGAACCAGGAAATCGATATGGTCTGTCGTACTCCTGTAGTATTGATTCTCCCCCTGCTCTGGGAAATAGTATCTTGTCAAGATCAAGGGGATGGAAATCGAAAGCCAGACTCAAACGAGGCGGAACCGTTTCCTGGTAAGCGAACAAAACCTCTGCTATGCTATGATGCGCAAGCTCTTTGAGAACTTGGAGTACGTCTTTTTCTTGAGTTGCCCGCCGGACAGACTCTTCATCTAATAAGTCGATTTGTTTCCGAAATAGTGGGCGTTGTTTAAGATTCTCATCGCAGAAAGAATCGCAGATTTTGAACTTATAGAAGCTGCGTCCAGCTTCACGATTGCCGATGGGAAGTAGCGTTTCCTCGATCCAAGGCATATTCTGCCGGCTGCTGAACCGCTGAAACAAATTGTCAGCCTGGAAGCTGGGTATCCTCAGCCACGTTGCATTGTTGTTTAGTTGCTCGACGAAGTCTTCGGCTAGGCAGAAAGGATTGGTGGATAAAGTGTGCCTGGGTGTGTGTTTGCAGTCTTCGAAAGCTCGATTCTTTCCAATCGCGCCAAAAAGCTCGCGGATGAGGTCATGGCGATCGCGCATGTTGTTCAGAGTAACTTCTATAGAGTCGAAGCGATGCTCGTCTAAGTGCCTTAAGGCGAATGTTCCTCCAATAAATGCAAGCGCCGCGGTAAGCTTCCGTCGCTCTGCGTTGGTGGCAATCTTCTTTGCGAGGACATCATTATCTTCTGGTGGCGTGCGGATTGTGAAGGGAATGCAGATATTGCATCGACATTTCAGTAGTTCGACCAGGGGACCATGTTGAAGATTGTTCTCGAGAGCACTTGGTGTTATGAGTATGTCCTCTGTTTCTTTATCACCCCGCTTCTTTCGCTCAGCAGCTTTGATCAGTAGACGTTTCACCCGTCGACACATGCATTTTCGCTGTCTGGCATCGGCATTGAAGTCGAACATCATACGCAGAGCGTGTGGCCACTTTTCTACAAGTACCAATGTTCATGAAATTATTATACGACAGATGGCGTCACAGCTAAGGGCGCCAATGGCCCCGAACCATGCTGCCCCATCGTCTCTTAATAGGGCAACCCTCGGCTTACTGCAAAGTAAATTACCTAAATTATCTTCTTATCGATGCGGACCGTGCGCCACACCTTGTGAAATCTTCAGCCGTCCTCGCTTCACGTGTATACTCTTCATTGGCCTACGCTGACCGGAATTCATGCATGGGATATTGGTGGCTTTCTGCCTGCTTTTGCAGTTGCCTTCTCCCCTGATTTCTTGTTTTGGTGGCTCCTCAAACATCATCTTAAGTCCACTTCTCAATCAATTCTTTACCCATGGAAGATTATGGAGCGGACAACTTCAACCATATCTGCTTCCACCGCCGCTCCATCTCATCATCACGACCGACTTTCTCATGCTTCATCAGCAGAATCACTGGTAGCCAATCCAAATGGTACCCATGGGGAGCACAACGGTGAAGATACCCGCTCACCTCCGCTCGATCGAGTGCCGATTGTCCAAGTCGACGCCCGTCGAGAGCTCAGTTGGCAAGACATTTCCGCCTTGATCATAAACAAAATGATCGGTACCGGCATCTTTACTGGGCCGCCCACAGTATTAATGAGCACTGGGCGAAAGGATATTGCTCTCGTGATATGGGCAGCTGGTTTTGTTTATACCCTGATAAGGTATGCGCGCGCAACTTGGCGATTTGCAACTAAACTAAAGAGTCGTCAGTATGACACTATACTTAGAATTTGCTCGGAAGCTACCATATACTGGAGGAGAGCTTGTATACGTACGTCTTAAACTCCTAGGTTGTTATAGTTCTTAATGTACAATAGTTAGATGAGTTACTCCCAAAACCGACGCTCTTGTCATATACGTGCTATGCACTGTACTTCATATGCATATACCAAACTGCCACCAACGGCATGCAGTTTGCGCGGCAAACTATCATCGCATCGACCGGATCCGATGTAAAAGATCAACGCGTAATGCGTTTTATTGCCGTTGTGATCACCACCGTTACCTGCCTTCTCTTATACTTCTCCACTGCGACAGGTCGAAGACTTAATAGGTGGCTGGCATATTTGAAGGTTCTCTTGATGTGTGTCATATTTGGGGCAGGCGCCGACTTGGCACGTCGGTCGAAAGTACGGGACGTCCAAAAGACCTTCAAAACTCATAATTATGCAGTGGCTATTCTCCAAGTGCTATATTCCTTCCAAGGGTGGGAAAATGGAACGCTGGTAAAACGCTTATCCGTCGAATCAAACGATCTCTGGTTCTAAATGCACGACAGGTCGCAGGAGAGATACAAAGCCATGATATCCTCCGCAAGGGCTTCATTCGGGCAGTCTGGATCGTCGGATTGCTTTACATGATCATCAACATTGTATATGTTAGCAATAGATGTTCACTGATGACAGTTATCATCAGCTGACACCGTGCAGTGCTATGCAATTCCGTGGTCGCAAGATGGCAGCATGGAATACGACTATGTGCCTTTGGTAAGTCTGATTAGCCGAACAGGTCCCAGATACAATACACTTAACACTAGATAGTTCTTCGGCAACTCACATCCAGCTTCTCAAGCTTGGGCAGTGTTTACTGCATTCTCTGCTGTTGGTAGCATGATTAGCGTCACCTACACTTGCGTTAGAGGTGTGCGCTATACGTCATTATCAGCAAAGAGGTCTGGAGCTAAGAAAATTCAGTCAAACAAACGATAGCATGGACGAACATACTACCTTGGTCCCCTCTATGGAGGTCCTCAGCACCCGTATCCAGGAGAGAACCAAAAGACTACTTAGAGCTGCGTATACTGAATAACCAACATGCTCACAACCCGTATGATCTTTCGACTGGTGAGCCACAAGGAGGTTTGATACTTCACTGGATAATATGCGTTGTTTATATTTGCGCTACGTCTGCGATCTCGGTCGTCACTGAAGCAATAGCATTTCCTGGTCAGCTACTCTCGTATGCTCACGCTATTGTTGGAGGTGAGTTCTGTCATCACTACAATGATAACGCAACCTGCTTACACCATGCTCTGCAGTCGTGCTAGGGGTCATGTTTCCGAAATTTCGCAGTATTGAAAACAAGGTCCCTATGACGCGACAATGGGACCCACCTAGCAGAGAGTCTCGATGGTTGAAGCTAAAATTCGCCCCAATAATTTTCGGATGGACTTACGCTATAGGCAGCATAGCTCTCCTGGTACTCACGGTCATAGGACCGTACAAGAATGCTGACGGATCAGAAAGAGTGGTGAAAGGTTGGTTTTATCCCGCGGTATCCTTCGGGACGCTCCTGATGTCCCTGATATATTACCTCATTTTCATTGCTAGCACGGAAGCATCATTGGTTCGCGCCGCTGGGATACAAATCCGAGAATGTCGACATGGAGAAAACGATCGTGAGCGTATCAGGCGGCGATGCGATGTTTGCCAAGATTCACCTCAAGCACATCGCCATGCCAGAGATGGCTACGAGCATTATTTCGAGGTGGTAGTGCCTGACACTCATGATCGTGGTAGTTTCCTGTATTGGTTCTTTGGTGGGACAGAAGAGCGTCATCATCCACGTGCCTCTGAACAAGTCAATATGGTGAGAGCAGTCTTCGCGCAGGCAAAAGCGCACCTGAAGGAAATGTTCCGGAAACCTTCTGGCTTATCTAGGAACGGAGGTGCAAACGGTGATACTTGAAATCGGCATAAACACCTCAGCCTCGCAGGGTGTTTGTAAATGACCCCCACGCAGATTACGCGGTAGCGTAGTACAAGTAGTCATCAGTATGACCGGCAATTTGCGCGTCCTATCGCCCACCTTGTGAAAGCGGAGCCTCAATGGGCTGAAGCCTGGGCGTATTTAGGCTTTCGTGTATTGACCACTACCTCTGCGCGACTGCATATCTTTCAACCACCATACAATGCCAGCAGCAACCTACGGCCCTTTCATAATATCGACCATCACCCACTATGCGGACGAAGCCGACGTAAGGGATTTGCTACAAACAAGATTTCCACCAACCAGGGCGCAGCCTACGCCATGGGTTATCCAAGTCAGTAGCATAGGGCCATAAGGCTAGAGCATACTGGCCTAAGTAAACAGAAAGACTGACCATACCGAAGTCAGATCAGTCGGGCGACTTTCGCGTGTGGGCCCCCAGGGAGATCGCGCAAGTAAGTATTTTGCCCAATTGTTGCGATGTGGGGGGGCTGCTCGAGACTTAAACAGTTTACTATGAAAGCAGTTGCAAGGCTGACCGCATTCCAGGAGGAGAAAGATGAGTTGTACAGAAGGAATGCTTCCCGACGTACTCCTATGGCCAACATACTTAGTATGAGACGGTACTGAGCTTACTTGGTCTCGCAGGATGGCATATGGTCCTTGTGAGGCTGAAATCATACCTTTGCTTTTTACCATACTTAAGGATTCGACTGGGAGTATTGCGAGGGTACCCAGACGCCGATTCTGATACGCAAAGAATGTCCGCCACATTTTACCTTTTTCACTTGGAGACTGTCGTGTTGATCTGTCTTTTTGCTCGATAGTCGTGTTCGTGAAGTACCGTATGATTATCCACCCGGCTGTCGCTTCAGCCTTCTGCGCCACGGATACCCCGCCTTTGCCTCTGACATCCACACTCTTCAGGCAGCTGGGACCGGTCAGGGTAGGCAGACTGCTCGCATTGTATAAAATAAGTCGCTATCCCATTCGCGCTTGCAGGATAGAGATCGGATCTTTTCTTACAGGACAGACAGTCATATAGCATGATGAAGATTGACATACCGGCGTGGCCTCTCCCAGTGGTTTGGGTCACATCAGCACTACCAGTCGCTGCTGACTACCAAAGTATGAGCCTGCGACTGGATGGCGTGGCCGATAGGCTTTTCAAAAAAGATGGTACGGTGCAAGTCATGGCCTGTAGATGGAGTAAACATCGTAAGTGGCCCACAGCTAGTTTCGACCGTAGTAGAACACAGTAGAGCACATTTGACTTACCTCCATACAGAAAAGTTCGAGAATTTGCCTCTGCGCTCGTATGAGGATTTGTGCGCATATGTGTACGTAGAAAACCAATCTTGCCGATGAAGAAATGACGGATTGTACAGTGAAAGCGATAAAAAGACTTTGGATCTTTCAAGTGCCCGAACCACGAGTCTGTTGTAGGAAGCCCAGCGGACATCAACTATGACACAGCTAATGTTGGACTAGCATCATTGACCAGGAGCACACGAGGTCTAGCCTCGACATAACACATAATGCAATGAAAGTGCTGTTATCATCCTTCTCTGCATTCCCGCAACTTGCCAACGCCCTGCCGGAATTTGCAGCCTCAGATATTCCCATACAAGGTTCAAGGACGTTTTTCCACACCGAATGTTCAATTTCGAGATTAGAAGGCAGTTCAGATCACCTGTGCATGCTTCTAAAGTACATTGAGCCTAACAGAAATTTCTCCGATCCCATTCCGTGGTCCATAAGGCAGCAACTACTTCATCAGTCCATTGATGCTTGCACTCTGAGAGAGCACTGCGTGGTCATTCGTCCATCTGAAGCTTTCAAGGCGAGTATTATTGATCAGTTCATGCAAAGAGGAAACGTGTCCACCCATTGGACCAACCTTCCAGTGGTTCTGGTCGGCAGTCTGAATGCGCACTGGTCTGCCTACGTCAGGTTCCTCGACAAGGAAATTTGGGACATTGTAAGTCCCTGATCGCCGGTTCCTCGGACATAGTACCGAATTGTGTTTGGGTGCTGATTACCAGGACAGGACAAATCCATCGACTTCACAAACCCGTTCTCGGAAACACCTGGTGAAGCCAATTTCAGGTCGCTGCCGAGGACAAAGCAATACCATGACCTCCTCATCCGGGCAAGACATGCTCTAAAAGCGAACATCCACGTCCTTCGACTGCTACTTAAAGAATCCATCAAGCGGTTGACATTAGAAAGCAAAGCTTCACGTGAGCTTTTCGCAGATCACTACACTACACTCGACTCTATCGTCAATGATGTTATCGAGGAGTCGTGCGATCTTGTAGAGTACCTCGAAACACTTAAATTGCGAGTCGATCGCATCACAGAAGCCATACGCGATTCCATTGCATTGAGGAACACTCACCATGCTGCTGTCGAAAGCCAGAACATGAAGCGCTTGACAGTGAAGTCTGTTCAGGAAGCGCGAACCGTCAAGGCAATCGCTCTTGTAACGCTGGTTTACTTGCCGGCTACGTTTATAGCTGTGAGTGAGGCTCGAGTCACATCTAATCAGCTGTCTAACAGTGTAGAAGACATTTCTAGGGATCAACGGCATCAACATTCAGCAGACTGATACAGGAGTTCTGCATATCGAAGCGGATGCGCAGGTTATCTTATACTTTGCGCTTACAGTTCCTCTGACCTCAGTGACGTTGTTGTTATGGTGGGCCTGGGAGAAATGGAGTCGGTCGAGGAGAGGTGAGACGGGCAGCATGGATCCGCAGCCAGCGCGCCCATGGAAAGCACATGTATCGCCCGTCTAGCTGGATGTAATAGCTGTTTCTTTTGTCTCTATTGCAGTGGCCTCAGATCTTCCTAATATCCAAATTTCTTATCCATCCCTCTTGGCTCATTTGCACACGTTTGTGGTGACACTGAGGGAGACGCCCTTCTTCTACTTCAATATGTAGCTTCAACATACTCACAGCACTCGTGTCAAGAATGGAGTATCGCATAGACCAGCGAAATAATCGTCTTCTCTTAATAAAACATACAGCTTCACAGCACCTCTCCTGCACCAACGAATGCAGCGTCGCTACCCCAGCCATAGGTTCCATCCTCCTGAATAGCATCACAGCCTTGCAGGGTCAAACCCAACAGCTTCCCAACAGCTGCTTGCATATGCTAAGAATTGCGGTGCAGCTTGCTAAGAAGTACAGCGTTGGAAATATCCAGGGTCTACATACACGCGCTCGCCAATCCAGTGCATGGCCATTTCTGATCAGCAGCTTTGTTGACTCTTTGCTCACTGCTGCCGCAACCAGCACCTCCTCGCCCGCGCCAAAATTTGCAGTCCAACCTCACCTGTTGCGCTATTGTATTCGGACCAGTCTCGGACGCCCAATTTTAAATCCACATCACACCCCGCCTTTCAATCGGTTCTCAATGTCCATGAGTTTTCATGAGAAAAGCACTCAAGAGTGGATGTGGGAAATCAAATATGATATTCTCGCGACGGACAGCAAAAAAAAAAGACATGGAAATCGTCGGATTGCATAAACGCCCACGAACACCTTGCTTCAAATTCTCACCCAACCCGGCCCAAACCATTTCAGCCCATCCTCATGCCAAATAGAAAAATGTCAAAGTCCAGTCAGTATCTTATCATGCCCCATCAAATCCGTCATTCGAACTCCGTCAACCGCAACCTCCTTTCTCTCTATCTGTAGCCCTTCCTCACCACCATTCTCTACCGCTCAACAATCCTCAATCATCAGCAGGCTCCACCCTAACCAGTACCTCCTCCAAAAAACCCTCCAAAAACCCCGCCACCTCCCCACCCATCCCCACACCCCCCCTTTCATCCCACTCATCCAACTCCCTGAACCCCTTCTTCAGCTCGCTCACCAGCCTTTTCACATTATCATGACACTCCTGTCTCCGCTTCTTCTGCTCTACAAACGCATGCAGATCGCGCGGCGTGGATGCCGCTTCCTGCTTGTTTTTGAGGGAGAGATGGTACGCACGGCGGGAGAGGGCCGCTTCGAGCGCGGGGAGGACGACGCCGGAGAGCGCGGTGATTTCGGTGGGTGCTGAATTGGGCGAGCCGGGTGTGAGAGGCTGCTTAGGCCGGCCGAAGGAGCCGCGGGACATGGGGGATGGTTTGGTCGTTTGTGGTGCGGGAGGGGGAGGGTGGGAAGGCGTTTGTGCGCCGGTCACGTTGTTCCAGTTGTTGATTATCGGTCCACCAAATGGGTCGTACGAAGACGATGAGCCGGGTCGCGGGGGTGAGGCAGAGTTCGGTGATGTTTGAGATGATACAATTGACGTCTGATTGGTGAGTTGAGGCAATGGTTGTTGACCAGAGAGTGGCGGAAGTGGTCTCTGAAGTTGCGATGGTCGCGGGTTCTGGTTCTGATTCTGATTTTGGCCAGGACTATGCTGGGGAGGGTTTGCGGGTGCGGTAGAGGCATTTGTTGACTGAGATTGGTTACCTCGGAAAGGTGGAATCTCCGGGATGGACATTTGCGGAAGTACGATGGGTCGCGGGGGAGTAGGATCGCGTCGAGGAGTCATTTCCAACGCAGCCATGTCTTCGGCGATTGAACGTTGCAGGTATTCGTCGTAGTCCCTACCCAACGGCGTCTGTCGTCGGGGCTGTGCGGGTGGCTTGGTCGGCGTAACCAATCCCCGGTTCAGAGGATGTGGCGAGAAGGCTGCTGGCACTGGCGATTTGCGTGACTCTTGTGCCGTTGGCGGAGGGAGAGGTGGGATCGATCGCTTCTCGGGAGATGGTGGTAACGGTACCCGTGCCGCGGTCTTTAGCGAGCTCATCGGTGAATTCGGAATGTCAAGCTTTGCTAACCGCTTCGTCGGAGATGCAGGTGGACTTGGTCGGACAGTGTCGGCGGAGCCGTAGTAGTTCTCATCTCCATAGCCGGCCTGCTGGTTCAGGACAGGCTTCCGTTGAGGCGACGACTGTCGAGCATTTGCACCAGACTCGTTCATGGGTTTCAACGCATTGCCTCCTCGATCTTTTATAGGACGGATAGTACCAAAATCCCACAGCTCCTCGTTGATCGGTTCTCGTTTCTTTATAGGCGTATCTTCATCCTCCGAATCGGCTTGCTTGGGGTGACGAGCTTGATATTCTTGATAACGGAAGATCAGCTCCTGCAGCCTGGAGGGTTTCCCCGCTTTCCGGATGAAGGCTGACTGTAGCAATTGCTTCGCCGATGGTCGTTCCCTCGGATCTTTTCTCAGGCAGAGGTTCACGAACTCTTTGAATTGTGGAGTGAAGCTGCCAGTCAGTATGGGTGATGGGTTCTTTGGAATCAGGAAAAGGACTTTCATGGGATGTATGTCCGCGTATGGAGGTTCGCCCTGCGCAAGTTCGAGGGCGGTGATCCCAAGTGACCAAATGTCAGCTTTGTGATCGTACCCAGACTGCTTGATGACTTCCGGGGCCATCCAGAAGGGAGTGCCAACGAACGTGTTCTTCTTCGTCATGGTCGCGGAGAGCTGCCCTGAGACACCGAAATCGGCCAGTTTGACCTGTCCGTTAGAGCCGACGAGGATGTTGGCAGCTACATATACATTAGTCCCGTGCCTTTATATTCAGACGGGCGAACTCACCCTTGATATCTCGGTGCAGCTTGTGATCTTCATGCAGGTAACACAGGCCCATAAGCAGCTCCTTGAGTATGACGGCAATCTCGCTCTCATCGATAGGACCCGGCCTCATCAAGTCTGCGCAGCTGCCTCCCGAGCAGAACTCCATGACGATCCACAGCTCCGTGTTGTGCAGATACGAGCCATAGTACTTGGTAACATAGGGCGAGTGCATGTTAGAGAGGATGGAGATCTCGCTGATGATGTCGTCGACCTCATCTTCGGCATTTTCGACATCGATGATCTTGATCGCGACAAGCTGGCCGGTCCGTCGGTCGATGCTAGTGAGATTAGCATTGGGTTGGTACGGGAGAAAGACTTGCTGAGCATACCCTTTATATACTTTTCCGAAGCTGCCCCCGCCTGCATGTCGTCAGCGTGGCCCCAAAGCTTAGCCTGTCCTGCGCGTGCGCCTACCTATGCACTGCTGCTTGGTGTACAGCGTCGTGGGGTCCACGGAACCGCTCACGGTAAACCCCTCGGTCATAGCGACCCAACGCTCTCGGTCGTATTGCCCCGGTGAAGGTCAAGTGGAGAGGTGTATTCGCTCGCGCGCTTCGAGGTAGGGCGATCGCAGGGTGCGTTTCGCTCGAGTCGAGAGGGAAGGTTGGTGTGTGCGGGGCAGACGAAGCCGCAACGGGAGCCACAGTACAGCGCACGCGGGTGAAAGGCTTCAACCGTCTATGCGACCGGGCGGAGGCACTGCGAGTGCGTGTTTACTGGGTGGAGCTGTCGTGGTGAAGCGGTAGGAGCGTTTCTGGGGCGTGAAAGTTAGCAGGCGCCCGCGGCGGCAGGTGCATTCCGCACGCGCAGAGTAAAGCTCACCCTTCCCAATTGTTGCGAAGACAAGTTCGGTCGACAGGCTGGTGAACCAAGGTCCAGCGCAGGCGCCTGAATCTGCCCAGACGTACACAATTGCTTCACAGAAGAGCAGCGGCTCGAGGTACGTTGGACTCGGCTCCGGCAGTGGTGTGTTTACGACAACAATATCGCGGCGGCAACCACGAGTTTCACTCGTCCGAAGCGACGTCAACACCAACGCGCCTGGCCTGTTCAGTGGGCTGCAGGGGCCTCCGATGCGCAGGGAAATTGTTGCTGGCCGTTCGTCGAGGGAATTGCCAGCCTGGGCACGGTGTGTTTCCTGTCCGTTGTCCAGGATGTGCTGCCATGTTACGGCGCGCCTACGGAGACCAGGGTGCGGGCGCGCAGGCTCTCATCCTAGCATTCGCGACCATGACGCGGTAATTTCATTCGCATTATATTGGAATACAATTCGAGATCTGCCGGGAGCTAGATAGAATCTCCACCGAGGGCCAATCGCTTGCGTCGCACGAATACATCGCTGTCGGAGGGATGGGTGGCGGTGGGGAAGCGATTCGTCGAGGGCATTCTCTCCACCGCCGTCGCGTGTCGGCTCACCACTTGACGTACGAGCCCACATCAAACGCATTTACACAACCAGACGGCATGCATGGATTCATTGCTGTGCTCTTCACTATCCATTCAAAGCGCGACAAGGAAGATTGACAAAGAGCATCTCATTCCTACCTACACCCGTATAATTCCAACCAATCTCCAAAAGCCCAAAGGTATCACCCGAAAAGAAAGCAACAACTCCCGTTATCAGTCTCCCAGTCCACCGATAAACGACGCTTCGGGCTGACTGTACATGCTCGTCGCTGTCCTACATCTAGCCTTGTTCGTGTCCAAGAAAGCAAGCCGAGAAAACACTCCTGTGACGCTAATAATACAACGGGTAAACCCCGTAACCAGAGGACCGCCCCAACAACACCATGGAAAGCCATTTTAGGAATTAGTTTTCCGGTTCAAAAGTTACAACCGGATATTCGACGATGCTGTATCTCATGTCTACCCAGTTTTGTTGTTGCAGTCGTTGACTTTCGAGGAGAACCGCCTGATCGGGCTGCAGGAAACCCTGCCCACTTCAACGCCTTGCCAGGTGCTCGTAACCCCGTAAGTTCTTCGAGGCTTCTGTGTTGCCAAATGTTACACCTCCGAACTTCCATCGCCGAATTGAGCGCCCAAGTAGGCTGTGGCGCGTGATGTGATTTGTGTTGACGTAGCTTGCTTTCACTGGTATGGTGCACGAGCCATATCCGGGCAATAGTTTCATGCAAAACTTCCTATTGCTGCTGGGTATTGTGCGCATGCTGCTGAGCAAGTTGTGCCCGAAGGGTGGTGACTTCCGTCTGCAGTGTTGTCATCTTGGATTCGTGCTCTTGCGCCATCTTTGCCATCCGGGCTTCCATGTCGCGGACGTATTGCCACATGTCGATACCCTGGTTACCCATCACCTCACGAATGCTGCCACCGCTGCTTGCGCCGTGACTAGAGACACTGCCAGGTTGCGAACCAGATCCTGGTACTTGTTGGTGCTGGAGCATGCTGGGGCCATTCTTGCTGCCGCCCTGAGAACCCTGTTTGGGCAGCATACTGGGAGCCAGACCAGGCAAAGCAGGGAGGTGAGGGCCATTGTTGGCCTGCGGAGGTGCCATACCCATGGAAGGCGACTCGCGAGCGCGTTGAAAGTTGGGATGGATGTTAGGCGAGCGTGAGCCCGGCATGCTGTTATCGTGTGCTCCCAGGCGGTGTTGATCTTGCTGCCCTGGGGACAGAGGCTTGGGACTCTCTGTCATTGGCGGGCCTCCCTGGCTGAACATATTCGCTTGACTTGCCGTGTAGTGAAGGTTTGACAGGCTGCCGGGAGCTAGTTTGGGCGAGATGTTAGTGGGTTGGTTACCTGAGGGACCGCTGGGACCAGGCGGGTATAGGTTATTCCCACTGCTATATGAACCGCGGTTCGCAGCGAGAGGCGGGTAGGTACTTGAGTGCTGGCGATACGGACCTTGCGTAGAGCTTCCAGTGTTTTGCCTCTTACGCGCCGGCTCGCTCACACGCCGGCCCTCATCGTCTTCTTCGCCTTCACCATCATGGTACATAACGCCGTCCATGCCATCATCTCCCTTCCCGTCGGCCATCTCCTCACTGTCCATTCCGAAACTGGACCGGCGGCCTGCGCAACCACCCTGTCCCTTGTTGTGTCGGGCGAGTGCATCTCCGCGAGCGAATCGACGACCGCATTTCGGACACGTATGAGGGCGTTCTCCGGTGTGCAGTTTTGTGTGGCGCTTCAGGTCGTGGAGTCGTCGGAAACGAGCCTGGCAAGTTGGGCACTCATACGGCTTCTCCTGGCTGTGGGTCAGGAGATGACTCTTCAGGTTGTGGTGTCGCGTGAAGTCAGTCGCGCAGTACGGGCACTTGTGGCGCTTAGTCGAGGGCGACTTCGGGCTGTTCTGGTAGCCGGGCAAGCTCATTTGGCGCGTCGGCGCGCGGGGGTCGTGTTCCGCCAGCGGTCCCGGGAAGGTGAAAGCGCGGTTGCCTGGATTTTCGTTCGGATTAGGGGCAATGTGCTGGTGATGGTGTTGCGGCGGTGGTGGTTGCTGATGCTGCTGGGACACGCCTTCCATGTTGATCTGCGGGGTCGAGCCTTCCATGGCAGGCGCGTTCGGAGCGTGGTTCGAGTCGTTGGAGCCGAAACTCGAGAGGCTCACTGGACTTGTTTGCATGTTGTCACCCGTCATCTGGCCCGCCTCGGGGATGACCAGGGGCTTCTGGGCCGCCTTGTCCATCGGGCTGGTCGCGTGTGCTGGCGCGTCCTTTGAGTTGTTCACGGCTGACTGCGCTGTGCCGATGAGGCTCTGGACAACGGCGTGCGCGGGATTGGGACTCGACTGGCGCAGCAGCTGATGTTGTCGCTGGCGCTCGTCATTGAGCGCGGCGGCTCCGGTGAGCGGCTGCGGTGAGCGTCTTGGCGAGAGGCCCCGCGGTGACTTTGTGAGATGAGTGCCAAAGGTTGCGCCGGCGTGCGAGTTGGGCGTAGCCGACCTGTTTGGCACGGGGAACGGCCCAGTGTGGGTGGGCGTGATGGCTCGCGTTGACGCAGCCATGGGTTATGGTGAGGGTGGAGAGCGGTATGTGGTTGATCCTTGCGTGGGTGTTAGCGACTCAACATATCCGCCAGGTTGAAACATTGCCACGGCGCGGCGGAGATGGCACCTACTCGGGCTTGCAGTGTTTTCACGCTGCGCGGTGGATGAACCTCGGTGGTCGAGTTCAGCTGCAGCTCATGGGAGCATTCGCCGCCAGCAGAGCCTCCAGATGGAACAGGCGCGCGATGGAGCCAGCTTTTGCGATGCGGCCTGGGCTGGCGTCGCAACGGTGCAGGCTACGGCTGCGGCTCGGTTTGCTCTCAGCCAAGACAGGCACCCGCTTGGTACCAGGGCGAGACAGTCGCGATGATGTCGCGCAGCGGGAATGCAATGCAGCTGGGCGGCGGCGGCGGCGAGTGCTGGGCTGGGACGCGGTCGGCGGTCGCGATGCGACGTGCGATGGCAGCAGGTCGGCCGAGTGGTGGTGGAGGTGAGTGCGGCGCCTCAGCGGTCTAAGCAGTGAGGCTGTGTGAGCGGCGATTAGCGGAGTGGATGTGGATGCGCTAGGCAAGGTACTGGCAAAACAGCGGGCGGGCAGCTGCGGGCGTGCGCTGGCAGCGTCTGGGAGGGCAACTAGAAGCGCTGGAGGGGGAGGAGCGTAGAGGAGGAGAGGAGGCAGGCAGCGTGGTGGTGGTGCTGGGCGTTTGGGCGCAGGCAGCGCTGGTGCCGATGACACCAGATGTGTGGCTGGACTGGACGGCGGGCTTAGGTGCAGCGCCGATGAATGCAACACGGGTTCCAGTCGAGCCGAGCGCGCCAGCGACCACGGCGATCCATCTCGACATCCATGATGCGCAGGCGGCGCGCGCAGAAGGTGGCAGTCAATCAGCGGCAGCGTGGCGCCTGGCTGTGCGCACCACGATGCACCAGTCACCCTCGTCGACGCTTTTCGCTGGGGAGCGCACTGGGGCGGCAGCAATCTGGGCCGGAGAGAGCGGCAGCAGCAGCCTCGCTCGCACGCGGCCTGTGGGCTCGCGGTGCCGGGGCCGCGACGCAGGCTGTGTAGACCTCAGCTGCAGCGAGCCATTCACACCGCGCGCCTCGTCGCCAACGGGCTAGGGCGCGCTGGGCCACCGTACGGGCGCCACACGTCTTGTCGCAAGCTCCAACCGCCGTCGACGTCGCACCCTTGGGCTCGCGCTGCAAACACGTCCAGAGGAGCCAAAGACGGCGAAACCGCGGCCAGCTGGGGCAAGACGGGCAAGAAAGCGCGCCGACCAGCGCGCCACACCCTCTCCGCCGTGCTTGTGTAGCTGCCAAGCGCGGCAGAAGCTTGCTGGATGCTCGTATGCAGTGGCGCAGGACCCCCCGCGATCACCACATCGCAGCCCATCACTTACAAAACCAGCGCGCTCGACGAGCAGATGGCACGCTCGGGCTACCCTACACGGGCAATCACAGCCGTGCGCTGCCACGGCGCAAGCCCAGTTGGTACCGCCTGCTCCAGCACACCAATCACCCGTATCTGTGGCTAATCTGCGTTCGCGCGCCACAGCTTGCCGAAGCCACTCATATGCCCATCCTGCCTCTGACCGGATGCTACCAAGCAGGTTTTGCCGCCCTTCCGCGCAGACTCTGCTCACCGTCTGTCTGGGCGAGACGTCACAGGCCAGCGGCGACCATGTCTCCAGCCACGTCCAGGCACCCGAGATGGCGACTCCTCTTTGCCATGTGCGATCAGCTTGAGCCGCCGGCACCAATTGCCCATAGCATCCAGCCCTAGCCCGACTGATGGACACGCGATCGTCAGGTACCGCCCCCGGCACCGCACCGCGGCATCTCTGCATGTTTCAGCTCGCATTCCATCTCTCTCCGACCTACTCTTCATTCCAAACGTTCCAACACGCTGGAGAGGACCTCTAGATTGCCATGCATTCCTCGTCTAAATTTAGCCGAGCACGGTGCACCGCCGCAGGCCACCGACTCTCACGATTCGCTTGTCAGACCCCACGATGTGACGTGCCGGTATCGATAGCAGCCACACGCGTGACGCTTTACTGCAGTTCAGCACATGGGCCGTCGAACCCTTCCGTGGCCCGCCGGACATCCGTTCTGCAGCAGGATCTTCCGTGTCCAGATCGTTGTATTATGTAGAAAGGCTTGATCATGGGAGCATTTGGTGTGTGATACCATTTGCAAGACTGCGCCTCGAACATGGATACAGCTTGCCTCCACACCCCTCCGTGACTCCCACTCGCTCACCACAGCAAGCCACGTCCGGGTGTCGGCCCACTTGCAGCAACGGTCCCGACGAGCTGCACCGTCGCTGCTGCGACATTAGCTTGATTTTCGATGCGTGGCTCACGCGCACGCAGACCTAGCGCGTCGCGTGTGGCGCTTGCCCTGTGGCGTCTCAACATCTCGCCATCTGGCCATCTCGATACGAAATTTTCCCGCTCGAGAGTAAGGCAAGCGAGGCAAAGCTTCCATCGAGGGGCGAGCTCGGCTACGTGGCGTGATGGCGGGGGTGAGTCTTGTCGCGTGTGGGTACGGATGAGGCAGGTTGGAGGTGGTCTGAGAAGGAGCGTTGAATACTGCGTGACGAGGTAGCAGAGGCAGGTTGGATTTCGCGTGGTTGTGAGAAGAGGGGATAAGTGTGTCGAATCGACATCGGGTATGTGCGGAGTTGCAAAGTGGAAGACACGACCTCGACGGGACGTGATGCTTGTGCCAGTCAGATGCTCGAAGGTTGAGCCTGAAGTGACTTGGGCTGTTTTTAAGTCTTGATATTACTGATCGGATACCATTCTGTCTGTGTTCAAATATATTCACAAAAAACATAGTCGCTGGAACTCTTTCGCGTCGTCGACAGTAGGATAGTAGTTCTACGCTCAGGACAATAGTACACAGCCCCATGTTTTGTTGTATCCACGGACAACGCATCTTTGGCTTTGCAGGGAAGGATTCTGATTTGCTTTTTGTTTCAAGAAATACCATTTTGTAGTTTGAGTCAACGATCAGAAAATCACTGTCCTATATCTCTTCGTTATCCTCACAAGAACTACGGGCCGTGTCTACCCTCTATGTGGCAATCCCCGTCCGACGAACGCCCGGTCACCTCCAAACCAATCCCGCTGCGCCCTCTCTATCAAAAAGATCTCAGCGAAGAGATGGATTGTGCTCTCAAGAAAAGCATTAGTTGCTACTAGATCATAGACGTACGTAGCAGCGGCAACGTAGCCTTGGTCCTTCACAAGGAAAATCTTATCCACTTTTCTAACTACAACCAGAGTCTCTAGTCCCAGTCGTAGTAATAGGGTTCCGGGCTTGGTGTCCTGATCCGTGGACGTGGTCTTTGGTGCGTCCGCCTGGAAGGCCGTACTCTCGCTTGACACCTCGGGCATGCTTTCGTTTGACAGCCTGGACACTGTAGCAAATACGTCCAAGCCTCGTCGTATCTTGGGCATGCCGTGCGGCCCTGGACTTTAGGCCACCAGCCGTCGTGGCGGCACGCCGATGCGCGAGTGTGAGCCAGGGGAACGGTTGGCTCGGGGATATGAAATGCATAACTCGCGCGCTGTCTTCTAGTTCTTCAGCTTGCCTTTGGAATTCTTCCAGGTATCGCTTTTGTTCTGCTGCTTGGTTTGCTGCCTGTTTTCGCCGTGCCTCTACTGCTTCCCGTTCTCTCTTCTTTTGTTGCTCCCGCTGCTGTTCTCTTTGCACCCTGTCTGCTTCCTCCTTCTCCTGCCTCTGCCGTGCTCTCCTAACCCTCTCTTGTTCCTCCTTCTCGCGCCTTTGCCGATCCTCTTTGCCACATCACCAATTGGATCTGCGTTATTGCTTGTTGGTCTTTCATTCTCGTGACCTCGTAGTTAGCCTGCTTGATCCTAAGCTGCTCCTCTTTATCCGCTAGAGCTGCTTTCGTTGCCTGAAGCCGCCGCTCCTTCATGTCTGTTTCAATCCTTCGCTCCTGCCTCTCTCGGTCCTTCTGTTCTTTTACTTCCTCGGAGTCTTCCACCTTCTTCTTTTGAATGAACGACAGAAACAATGTAGTCCAGCTGTTCCTCTGTGCTTCCTCCGCCGCCTCGACAGCTGCGATGCTCACTAGGCCCATGATATCTTTCTCCAACCGCTCTATATCTCGATTAACCTCGAAGATGGACCACTCGAAGTTTATCTTGGTCGTCCGCCATTGTGCGTCAAGTTCCTGTATTGCTTTCTATAGAGCGGCGATTCGCGGAACTTCGCTCGGCGTGCTTGCCTGCGGCTTTAAACCGGAGTGAGAAGGCCGTTTCGGCGGATTTTGATGAGAGGCATTCTTCTTTTTTATGGATGGGTAGATGAGATCGTATTTGCTTCGTTCGTCTTCGTCGCTTAGAATCTCGTAGGCTCGTCCAAGCTGTCGGGTGTTGTTAGTCGTTTTTACCAATCGACTCTAAAGTAACTCGAGCTCGATATACCCGCTGGAAGGCTTCGGTAGCTTCCCGCGTCCCCTGATTACAATCTAGGTGGAGCTCCCGTGCCCGCTTTCTATAGGATTTCACGATGAGCTCTTTATCGGCATCTTGCGCCACTCCAACGATCAAATAATAGTCTTCAGTGAAGGGCGAGGGTGCCATATCTCACCCGGGGCTCGGAAACTCGTGATGTCTACAGATTGGAGTAGCAGTGTCAGGCACACTGGAGGGGTAATCAGCTGTCAAGTATCAAGTTACACTGCATACGCGTCGATGCTAGCCAGTAATCACACAGAGATTCAGAAGTTATCACAAATCATCTACCCGTGAAATCTCAACAATAGGCGCATGCTTAGACAAGCCTATACGGCTTGCTCCGCATACGAGATCAGTTGTCGTGGACCTAAGTCAAGGATCTGGGTTTAAGATGCTCGCCCTATACATCCTCACACATAAATTAATATTACTCTTTGTTTACATTCCTTCAGCCTCCTCGCCTTATTCAACGCGAGTCCTTCAACCTCATCAAGCATTGTCTTACACGTACATGGGAGACACTAATATGTGTGCGGAATCCCTCAAGATTCAGGCGCGAAGACGTGCTTCGTGGGTAGATGTGCTTTGCATACTCTCGTTCATATGGTATGTTTGTATGGTAGGCTTGATATCACAACAATTAATCTGTTTTCGAAACTAGGCACACTTCCACTTTCAAACCATCTCCATATTCCCTTCCGGAAGAGCACAAACCCCTTGAACACCATAGCTGCCCAAGAGCTACAAGGCTCCTCAGGTTTCGCAGTCCTGTCTTGTTCCCGAATCCCAACATACGCCCCACGACGATCCCGCCTTTCCCATTCAGCCCCTTTTCTCTTTCGCTATCTTTCCTGTGTCGAAAACGTACAGTGTGCGGCGAAAATCCCCAAAAAGCCAATCACGTTCCTAGTCCACCTCTCTCTCACCCTAACGCTGAGAAACAACACAAAAAGAGAAAATCAACAAAAGAATTGCATCTTCCGGGAGTCGAACCCGAGCCAATCGCTGACTTGCCAATCCGGGATACGGAAGGCTTGGAAGGCGATTATCCTACCGCTGGACCAAAGATGCTGTTAACTGTTTGATGGAACTGTGCCAAATTTTGATGTCTATATAGATTAGGATACGAGGGAGGGATGAAGAAAGACTGCAAGGCAGAGCGAGACAAAGGTGGGGCGAGATTGAATAAATGTGGGTTAAGTGGGGCTCAAGCGAGCTAGGACTAGATTGGGATATGGTGGGGATGTTAGACGGGCAATCGGGCGGGCACGCAACACAAAGCATTACGGCAAGGCGGGGAGTACGACGAATTCGGATTCAAGAGGTTTGTGTGTCAGCCCGGTAATGGAGCAGAAAAGTATTACGTATGGGTGGATTAGATGCGGCGCTACCCTTGCGATGTAGGTGCAATGAAGTGCAAAGCAACCTTTTTCTTAGCAGAGTGAGAGATAACTTGCAGCGCATTGTTGAGTCAAAAAAGGGAGGATTTGAGGGAGCTTATTTGGCACTGGAGTTGAGGCATGGGTTGCGGCGGGCTGGACCCGTGCGCATCTCTCAACTATGATGCCGTCCTGCGGGATGAGATGACCTGCGGTCCATTCCCGCTTCACGAAATCAGGCCTCAGATTATCGTGTATTGCGTTGAAGACGATATGCAAATCACTGCGTGCATTTCAGATTATACCAGGTTGACGAACCACATCACAAATACGCTACAAATGCAAGAGCACTGAACTTTTCATATCTGCTCACGACCTGCATTCCCCAGCCGTCTATCCGTAACCGTAGAGCCATCCGTCATATTCCCATGCACGCTATGCCGCTCCCTACTGCCAAACTGTGGAAGGAAAACAGATTACGCAAAAGCTATGCAGGGGATCAAAGCCGCAAAATGTCAAAGCCGTAACGCCAGTCCATCTCTACCCTAGGGTTTCCCGGCCGTCTCAGAATCGGATCGACACTACTGCTCTGCGTTTGCAGCGGCGCGGCGAGTGTAGCTCTGCTGGCGGTCGGAGAGACGGAAGGCGTGGTATATTTGAGAACACTGAGAGGGGAGAGCCTCACATGAAGTCGTCACTGGTTTCGGTCAACATGGAATCTTGGAAGATGTGATCGCGTGCACTTACTCGCCAAAGTCGTCGTCGTACGCGTTGGTGTCTGCCTTGAACGCGACATCACGGGTAGCGTTCAGAGCGACCTTTGTCTTGGCCGCCTTGGTCTTCTTGCCGCCCTTCTCGGCAGCCTTCTCCTCCTTCATCTTCTCGTTGCTAAGGGTGGTCAGGCCACTGGCAATTTTCTTAATCTGCTCGCTGGGCAGGTCCTTGGCAATCTGCTTGGTGAATTCCTGCAAGAAGAGGGAGTACTGAGCCTTCTTGGAGTTGTTGCTAATTAGCGGCGTGAGTGTTTCGCGGAGGTGGGTGAACTGGTCCTTGGTCTGCGGGTTGAAGATCTTCAGCGAGCTGAGATCGATGACGTTGTTCGGATCGCTCTCATCGGTGAGGGTGACGGCCTTAGAGCCAGCGACGCGCGGCTTGGTGCCCACGCTGAGGCCAGCGCCGCCAAAGAGGTCCTCAGCGTGTGCAAGGTCGGCGTCCTGCTCGCTCTTTCGTAACCGGGCACGGCGCGTGGCCTCGTCCTCCTCCGAATCATCAGATTCCTCCTCGCCAGCCAGCCTCCTGCGCATGTTCTCCTCTTGTCGCTCCTTGATGCGCTGCGCGCGGGACTTGTGGTTTGCCTTCGCCTCAGCCTCCGCTTTCGCCTTGGCCTCGGCGGCCTTCTTCGCCTTCTCGCGCTCGACTTCTGAGTCCTCGGCGGCGTCCCATGACTCTAGGACCTGTCACGCGTATCAGAATCATGTTGGAAGAATGTTTGGCGAGATTATGGTGGTGCGGGGTTCTAGGCTGACATACATCGTCGTCGTCTTCCTCGTCGTCAAACTTGCCGCGGCGGAGGGCAGGTGCGGGAGGCGATGAAGGAGGTGTATCCTCTTCCTCGTCATCTGTAGCCGAGAGTTAGCCGTTGTTCTGTGTTCATGTATATGGACATGTGGCCCCGCGCACAGAGGGGCAGGGATGTGGATATGACGTACCCCATTTGCTTGGAGGCATGATTGCGGTTGTGTATATGGACGGGCGAGTGGTTTAGGATGTGCAGCGAGCGTAAGCGCAGGTATGTGCAGTCGGTGTTGCACGAGGTTCTGGGTGCGGGGCGTTGTGTGGAAGAAGAAGACTGAAATTGAAGGCCCGGAAAGCGCGTCGCAGAACAATGGTTGGGCTCGGCGTCACTGCGTCCATGAAAAATTGTCTGTGCCCCGCTGCTGCCCAATCACATCCGGACCCAGTCGGACAGAAACACCACCTATTTTGGGCGCGGGCAAGTCGTTAGCATGCGCGAGCCTTTGCATTTGATCAGCGGTGCTACCAAGATTGATACGAGCGCCTTGAATATTAATAATCCTGAGGCTTTCATCTTGAGCAGGTCGAGTCTCATCGTCGGACATCAGGATTTGGCATCGAAGGGACATCGAAGTCCAGTCCCGCAGCAGAGGAGTCACACATGCATTGCTGATGGGTACGTTCTATTAGTCGATTCGACATAGTGCGAAAGTTGGACAGCATCGGCCCATGCGATTGCTCAGCCTTGTTTGGAGCCACGCATACTTGAAAGACATGCGTCCATGGGAGTGCTTTAGTGCCCCTATGATTCCATCAAAGTAGCTAGAGGGGAACGAGGTTTGGTATTTATGGCCTTTTTGAAATTGCCATGGACCAGCAACGGGCATGAACAGAGCATTTTGATCATGTCCACACACTTGACAAAGTATACTCCCAGACATGAATGGAAGGACTACCACTCTTCACAGTCAGTTAGACAGATCCAGGGTCCTGCCACGTGCTTCTCACGTCGCCGGGGCTGCGTATTCAGGCTGCTCACTTGACCCTCAGTGAGCTGAATGCACCAACGGCTCCATGAATCATGGGATGAATGTCATCAAGTGTATCTGTGCTGTTTGCGTCGATCACCTTGTCGCTTCATACGCACAGTATGGGATCCTATTGAATGACCTCATTGAGACTAGTGGTTCATATTCGAGAACATTGGAGTTTGATGCGGGAGCGTTTACTTTTGGACCTGTTTGAGATTTCAAATGATGAGCCCAATAGAAAGCGAAATATATCAGCTTATAAAGGAAAGAACGGATGCAAACGCCGGGTGGAGATGCAGTGTTGTCGTGGTCGTGGTCGCGTAGTCAGCTCAGACCCCAAGCCAAGCCCTAGCTCCTTCCGAACACCTGGTGAGAGCGAGCTCCTTTACATCGAAAACACATCTCCACGACCGTCCTCCGCAGCCTCCCCACATTCTCTCATTTCCTAATTGCGCGCTTCCGGCGTCCTGCTTCTGGGTCTAATTGTGCCTTTTCCCTTCGATACCCCTGTTCGCCGCCTGCTCTCTCACCAAGAGTGAGCTCAGAGCTGCCCCGGCGCAAACATGTCTCAACGACCTATCCCGCTGCATGTCACGCAGCCGACGCTGGTGAGCCTTGCGGCGCCTGTCTGCATATGCGACGATGCTAACATTGGCCTTAGCTCACAAACCTGAACATCCTCGTACGTCTGCCACGCAAGGCACCGAGCGCGCCGGAAGCGGAGGGACAACAAGCTAACAATGCACACAGCCAGCATCAATATCATGGCAGAACTGCGTACGTTATCAATGCAATAACACTCCACACCCCAGGATGGGACTGACGTGCTACAGACGCTCGAGTCGGACAAGTACGTCTGCGTGCGCCAGCAGAATAACGACTCCAACACGCCCGCCGAGACCGTCATCGTCGACCTCAAGAACACAAACAATGTCATCCGGCGGCCAATCCGCGCTGATAGCGCCATCATGCATCTGACAGAGCCCATCATTGCTCTCAAGGCGCAGGGAAAGACGCTGCAGCTCTTCAATCTCGAGACCAAGCAGCGCCTGCAGACATATACCCACCACGAGGACATCCAGTTCTGGCGGTGGATCAGCCAGACCACCCTGGCGCTTGTCAGCACAAAGTCGGTGTACCACTGGGATGTGCTCGACGGCAGCAACCCACCCACCCCGCGCAAGATCTTCGATCGCCAGGAGCAGTTGGAGGTAGGACACATGGAGCCATCTAGCAGTTCGAGCTGACAGCGGATTAGAACAACCAAATCATCAACTACGTGACCAACGACGATGAGAGCTGGTCATGCTTGGTTGGTATCGCGTCGCACCCAACCGGAGGCATCCGGGGTAACATGCAGCTGTTCTCCAAGGCGCGAAACGTCAGCCAGCCGCTCGAGGGTCATGCTGCCACATTCGGGACGCTCCGCCTGGATGGCGCCACCTCCGACACGAAGCTCTTCGCGTTCGCAGTGAAGTCAACCACCGGAGAGGCCAAGATCAACATTGTCGAGGTCGACCACAACGCTGCGAACCCCGCCTTCCCGAAGCGCCTGATCCCGATTCACTGGCCTGCCGAGGGCACTGGTGACTTCCCTCTGGGAATCCACATTGCGCACAAGTACGGCATCCTGATCGTAGTCACCAAGTTTGGTTTCATCCATCTGCACGATCTCGAGACCGGTACCGCGCTCTTTTTGAACAGGATATCGGAAGAGACGGTCTTCACAACCGCACGCGACGACGACGGAAAGGGTGTAGTGGTGATCAACAAGCGCGGACAAGTTCTGCACACCACCATTCGGGAAGATGCGCTCATCCCGTACATCATGGACAACCCCGCATGCTCGGAGATTGCGTACAAGCTTGCGTCAAAGGGCGGGCTTCCCGGCGCTGACAACCTGTACCAGCAGCGATTCGAGACTCTCATGAACCAGGCAAACTACACCGAGGCCGCCAAGGTCGCTGCCAACTCGCCGCGTGGCTTCCTCCGTACCCCTCAGACGATCAACCGGTTACGGCAGATCCCAGCCCAGCCGGGCCAAATTACTGTGCTTCTGCAGTACTTCGGGCAGCTGCTTGATAAGGGTGGATTGAACAAGGACGAGACGCTCGAGTTGGCCCGCCCAGTCTTTGCGCAGGGCCGGAAACACTTGATCGAGAAGTGGCAGAAGGAGGGCAAGTTGCACTGCTCCGAGGAGCTCGGAGACCTGGCTAAGCCGCACGACCTCAACCTCGCTCTTGCGATCTACAAGGAGGCCAACGTTCCCCAGAAGACTGTCGCTGCGCTCGCGGAGCTTGGCCATTTCGATCTGATTCTCCAGTATTGCCAGTCCGTCGGATACAACCCAGATTACAATGTGCTGCTCCAGCATATCGTCAGGGTAAACCCAGAGTACGATTTTCCCTGGTACAACGTCGCTATACCTTAAACACAAGACGACTTGTATATTAACCCACTTTTGTGACTCAGCTGACTTCGTACAGGAAGGGAGCCGAATTCGCCTCCAGCTTGGCCAAGCATGAAGGGGGACCCCTCATCAGCGTGGACCGGGTGGTCGACATCTTCCAGTCCCAGGGTATGATTCAGCAGGCAACCGCATTCTTGCTTGATGTACTATCGAACAACCTGCCCGAGGAAGGCCACCTACAGACTAAACTCCTTGAGATGAACCTGCTCAACGCACCCCAGGTGGCGGACGCTATCCTCGGAAATGAGATGTTTTCCCACTACGACCGCGCTCGTGTTGCCACTCTCTGCGAGCAGGCTGGACTCCTGACCCGCGCGCTCGAGCACACGGACGACACCGCGGCTATCAAGCGCATGATCGTGCAGACCGACAAGATCCCTGAGGAGTGGTTGATCAACTACTTCGGCCAGTTAACTGTCGAGCTTTCCCTGGAGAGCTTAGATCATATGCTCACAACCAACATTCGGCAAAACCTCCAGGCTGTGATTCGCATCTCCCAAAAATACTCCGATCTTCTTGGTGCTACTAGGATCATTGACTTGCTCGAGAAGCACCGCACTGCCGAGGGTCTGTACTTCTTCTTGGGTTCCATCGTCAACGTTAGCGACGATCCTGATGTCACGTTCAAGTACATCGAGGCTGCTACGACTATGGGCCAGCTGAATGAGGTCGAGCGTGTGTGCCGTGAATCCAACGCTTATAACCCTGAGAAGGTGAAGAACTTCCTCAAGGAGGCTAACCTCACAGAGCAGCTGCCGCTCATCATCGTGTGCGACCGATTCAACTTCATCCACGACTTGGTCCTGTACCTGTACAAGAAGCAGCAGTTCAAGTCGATTGAGGTGTACGTGCAGCGCGTGAACCCCTCCAGGACCCCGGCTGTCATAGGTGGATTGCTCGACGTTGACTGTGACGAGAGCATCATCAAGGGTCTGCTCGCATCGGTCACCCCTTCATCCATCCCCATTGATGAGCTCGTTGCCGAAGTGGAGTCTCGCAACCGTCTGAAGCTTCTGCTGCCGTTCCTTGAGCACACTCTTGCGGAGGGCAACCAGCAGCAGGCTGTGTACAACGCTCTGGCCAAGATCTACATCGACAGCAACAACAACCCAGAGAAGTTCCTCCAGGAGAACGACCAGTACGACACGCTGGTTGTCGGCAAATACTGCGAGAAGCGTGACCCGAACCTCGCGTTCATTGCCTACAGCAAGGGCCAGAACGATCTCGACTTGATCAACGTCACCAATGAGAACTCCATGTTCAAGGCACAGGCCCGCTACCTGCTCGAGCGTGCTGATGGCGAAGTCTGGGACTATGTACTGAGCCCCAACAACATGCACCGCCGTTCTTTGGTCGACCAGGTCACATCCACCGCGGTCCCTGAGTCGACTGACCCCGACAAGGTCAGCATTGCTGTCAAGGCCTTCATCACAGGCGACATGCCTGCCGAGCTCATCGACCTCCTTGAGAAGATCATCTTGGAACCTTCGACCTTCTCCGACAACCCTTCGCTCCAGAATCTCTTGATGCTTACGGCCGCCAAGTCTGACCGTGGCCGCATGATGGGTTACATCCACCAGCTCGAGCAATACACGCCCGAGGACATTGCTCAGCAATGTATCGAGGTTGGTATGTACGAGGAGGCGTTCGAGATCTACAAGAAGCACGAGCAACACGTCGATGCTGTGAACGTTCTTATTGAGCACATTGTCAGCATTGACCGCGCACAAGAATATGCTGATCGTGTCGACCTTCCCGAGGTTTGGAGCCGGGTAGCCAAGGCTCAGCTTGATGGTCTGCGTGTAACAGACTCCATCGAATCCTACATTCGCGCCAGCGACCCTTCCAACTTCTTGGAAGTGATCGAGATTGCCACGCACGCTGGCAAGGATGAAGATCTCATCAAGTTCCTGAGGATCGCCCGCAAGACCGTTCGCGAGGTTCCCATCGACACAGCATTGGCATTCTGCTTTGCCCGCACGAACCAGCTACCCGAGCTTGAGGACTTCCTCCGCGCCACGAACGTTGCCGATGTTGAAGCCTCCGGTGACAAGGCGTACGAGGAAGGTTACCACGAGGCTGCCAAGATTTTCTACACCAGCATCTCGAACTGGGCCAAGCTTGCCACCACCCTGGTCCACCTTGAGGACTACCAGGCTGCTGTAGAATGCGCCCGCAAGGCAAACAGCGTCAAGGTCTGGCGTCAAGTCAATGAGGCCTGTGTTGCTAAGAAGGAATTCCGTCTTGCTCAAATTTGCGGTCTTAATCTCATTGTTCACGCTGAAGAGCTGACCGATCTCGTCAAGCAGTATGAGCGCAACGGCTACTTCGATGAGCTCATTGCGTTGTTGGAGGCTGGCCTTGGTCTAGAGCGTGCCCACATGGTAAGCAATTGTTCACGTACATATCGAGTGAATTTACTAACTTCTCCAGGGTATGTTCACCGAGCTCGGCATCGCTCTCACCAAGTACCACTCGGAACGTGTCATGGAGCACCTTCGCCTCTTTTGGAGTGAGTGATTCTATTCACACAGTGCGCAATACCTCACTAACCGTTTTTAGGTCGCATTAACATCCCCAAGATGATCCGTGCCACCGAGGAAGCCCACTTGTGGCCGGAGCTGATCTTCTTGTACGTCCACTACGATGAGTGGGACAACGCTGCGCTCGCTATGATGGAGCGCGCGGCGGACGCCTGGGAGCACCAGTCGTTCAAGGACACCATCACCAAGGCCTCCAACGTCGAGATCTACTACCGCGCGCTTGGCTTCTACCTCGAGGAGCAACCTACTCTTCTGACCGATCTCCTTCAAGCACTTACTGCTCGCATCGATGTCAACCGTGTCGTCCGCATGTTCCTAAAGTCGGACAACATTCCTCTGATCAAGCCTTTCCTGCTCAGCGTCCAGTCCCAGAATAAGCGTGAGGTCAACAATGCGCTCAACGACCTCTTGATCGAAGAGGAAGACTACAAGACACTTCGCGACTCGGTCAACAACTATGACAACTACGACGCGATGGACCTTGCTCAGCGCTTGGAACGACACGATCTGGTCTTCTTCCGTCAGATTGCAGCCAACATTTACCGCAAGAACAAGCGATGGGAGAAGTCGATTGCTCTGTCGAAGCAGGACAAGCTTTTCAAGGACGCCATCGAGACTGCCGCATTGTCTGGCAAGACCGATGTGGTCGAGGACCTGCTGCGCTACTTCGTCGACATTGGCAGCCGCGAGTGCTACGTCGGCATGCTCTACGCGTGCTACGATCTTATTCGCCCCGATGTCATTCTTGAGATCTCGTGGCGCAACAACCTCAACGACTTCACCATGGTATGTATCCTCTCCCCGTCAGCTGTTCCTGTGCTAACATGAACACAGCCTTACATGATCAACTTCCTTGCGCAGCAGGCAGCAACGATCGAGATGCTGAAGAAGGACAACGAAGAGCGAAAGCAGCGGGAGGCTTCGCAGCAGAAGAAGGAGGAGGACACACCCATCCTCGGCTCGCGCCTCATGCTGACCCAGGGCCCCGTCGGAAACGCACCGTCACCCGGCCCGTACCAGCAGCCCAACGGCATCGCGCCGCAGCCGACTGGTTTCCGGGGATTTTAGGCGGCTCGGGGAACTCTGGATGAGAAGATTATTGGGTGCGCATGGGCTTCGTCTACATAGTTTGATGTTTTGGCATGCAAAAGCGAAGCAATGTGGAACGGGTGCATAGGTTTGGAGACAACAGGGTCGGAAGCGGGATGTACTTGTACACGGCGTTTTGGGGTTGCTCTTGAGCATGCATGTGCGATGGGGCGAGCTTGAGGGGATCTCGGTTGAGAAATTTTCTCGGAGTGGAATGTATTTTAAGACTAATTTGTTTGCTTCTGTGAGAGCGTGTCTTGCCGGGTTCTGCATGCGTGTATAAGTGTGTTGTTAGTGCCGGGACGAAAGGCGGACTGTGCGGAGTAGCATGGGGTAACATAGTGCACGTGGGGCTTGTGCCTCGCGCTGCATGCTGGCCATGATAATCTTAGGTTATGGAACAGGCTTGGGAGCGTAGGAGCGTAATGTGGCCAGCTTGAAAACGCTCCTTTTGCCGCCAGCCTGGACTTAGTAACCTATTTTATCTAATTCTATCTCCGTCTGCCCTGCTGGACACTGTCTTCCAACCGTCCTTTAACGCGGTAGTGGCGACAAGGTACTGCCCTGAATTAAACAGATACTCGCTTTTGTCTTGCGCTAGCATACGTGGTGGGTTGGGAAGGTAAGTACTTGCATTGCTGAATTCAGCCTTTGAGTCTTCACGTTAATCCGCACACGTGCGTTATTTGCAAGGTTTACGACCTCCGATGTGGTAGCAAAGATGCCCAGTGACATCTAGAAGTTGTATAGCGATAATTTTGACATGTGAATCAAATTGGTAGTAATTTTAGGTCGCCTTTCCTCAGAAGACTTCGCCAATATCCAGTGTCCGTGGAGCGATTGAATTCTGGTTGCAAGCAGGTCAATCTGGTCATATCTATAGCTATTCTGAGTGCTTTTTCCTGTCAATCTCGAGGGTACTTTGTCTCACGCTGCATATGTGTTCTACGTTTGAGCGATTCGTGGACCACAGGATCTGGCCTCCCGAGATTTAATTAAGAGTCATAGGACGTTGCTGGATCGTTCGGGTGTAGCATAATAGGAGGAAATTCGTAGTAAATGTGGGTTTCGCCGTTAGGGAAATGATCGCCTGTGGGTTTACATGGATTTCCGCCAAGTCCTACTTGAGCGCACTTTATTACAAGTTTATCAGTGCCATTCGTACGTTTATCGAGTGAGCCATTCTGTCGGCTTGGACCTAATAGCACGACATATGCTATCCTTTTTCCTGAGTATTGCATTGAGAGCAAACCGATGTATTTGCCCACGAAGAGTCACAAGGTTACTAGGGCAACTGTGCCAATGGTGAACGAGTCAGATGGGTCTGCAACAATCAGATCATGTCTTGAATATCATAGAGTCGCGTGTCACCGGACATGGTTGGTTGCATGTCTGAATGCTAAAACACCAGATGACTCCTAATGTTTTCATATGGACCAATGAGCTTACCGAGAACTGTGGTGAAGACCGGCAACCTGATGGCGCGCACCCCGCATTCAAGCTTCTGTAGGCTAGACGACGTCCGTGAATGCACTGCTTAGGGTGAGTCTTGGTAGGGCTACGTAACCCTGGACCGGAAAACATCAGGGGATGAAAACCACCAATAAGCGGCTACCCTAGTGTGACGACAGCTCGCTATGTTTCCAGACCCTGAATGTGACTTCGGAAAATAATTCGTCCAGATAGGTTGTAACACTACGACGAGTATATTGTCTTGTCATCTAAAGGTATAAAAGGTTGATGTCGACGAGGCAGTGATTGCTCATGACAGTTAGTTCTGAACCGGCTGGGATACTTCGTGGTTTGGGTTTTGTCATTACACTCTTCCGCGATACAATCAAGTAGACCCCTGGTATCAGCTATGTTTCCAAATCGAATCCTGGTATTTACGGTATTAGCCTTGACCCGGCATGCTGCGGCAGCCGGCGTCACCGGCGCGGCAGAGGGCTTCGCCAAGGGCGTGACCGGCGGTGGCTCAGCAACCGCGGTCTACCCTTCCACCAACGCCGAATTGGTCTCTTATCTGGGCGACAGCTCCGCTCGGGTAATCATACTGACGAAGACCTTTGACTTCACTGGCAGTGAGGGGACCGTGTCGGGGACCGGATGTGCGCCGTGGGGGACTGGCAGCGCATGCCAGACGGCTATCAATCAGAACAACTGGTGCACGAACTATGAGGCCTCAGCTCCAAGTGTGTCTGTGTCTTACGATAAGGCTGGTATCCTGGGTATTACAGTCGGCTCGAACAAGTCGCTGGTCGGCCAAGGATCTTCGGGTGTTATAAAGGTACCAGGGCCCCAGATGATTGATTCAACCATCATTCATTTAGTTTGCTAACCGAACTTTACAGGGCAAAGGCCTCAGGATCATAAACGCGAAGAATGTTATCATTCAGAATGTGAAGATCACGAATTTAAATCCCAAATATGTGTGGGGAGGTGACGCTATAACCCTCGATAACACTGACTTGGGTACGACACCATAGACCAAGCTTCCTTAAGACATCAGGCTGCTCACGCCGAAGGTCTGAGGGAATCTGTCCTCCACCATTCAACATTTTGACTGACTTGCTGATCAATACAGTTTGGATTGATCATGTATCCACCTCACTCATCGGTCGACAGCACATCGTCCTGGGCACGAGTGCCAGCAATCGTGTAACTATTTCCAACTGCGATATTGATGGCACAACTTCATGGTCACCAAATTGCGATAGTTACCACTACTGGAATGTTCTCTTCCTCGGATCCCAGGATTTAATCACCTTCAAGAACAACTACGTCCGCCACTTCTCAGGCCGCGCTCCTAAGATTGGTGGCAACACCCTTGCCCACGTGGTGAATAACTACTTCTATCAAACCGATAGCTCAGGACATGCTTTCGAGATTGATTCGGGCGGCATGGTTCTGGCTGAAGGCAATGTTTTCCAGAACGTGGTCAATGTGGTGACTTCGCCCGTCGGAGGTCAGGCGTTTACCAGCCCCGACAGTTCGAGCAATGCCGCATGCTCGTCTTATCTCGGCCGCGCTTGCGTAGTCAACGCCTTTGGTAGCTCCGGCGCTTTCAACATCAAGAACACTGGTTTCCTGACCAACTTTTCGGGCAAGAACGTCGCGTCCGCTTCCAGCGCTACCGACGCGAAGAATGTTGTGAACACTGCCGGTTACGGGAAGATCTAACGCTGCGGTAGAGGCATTAAGTGCCTGTTGCATGTAGTCCTTATATCTGATTACAGAAAAAGTGAGATATACAGTTGGCTATTGAATTCAATTCAGCTAAATGAGTGTGATGTTCCTCAACTTAATCACATGTCTCTCAAATCGTTGAGTCATACACATGCGTCAGGCGTATTGCTGTGTGGTGAGTCAGTACAACTTGTAGTGTCTGCTTACGCATGCCCAGAGTCGTGATTCGGGATAGTGTTGCCCCGACACGGGGTGGCTGTACGCCGAGTAGGTTTGAGCGGACATATATGCTAGTGTGTATTTTACGGCTATCTGGATAGAGGTAATATACTCTGAGGTGTTAAAAGGTTACGTCGTGTAATTGAGCGCCCCAAATTGTGTTTTGGTGCTGGATTTATTTTTGGTGACTGGATGGTACGTCCAACGCAAGGACAAAATCGATGTCACCACACTCCAACGATAACCCGATTCAAAGATACACAGTACCTTGGTTGCGCCAGTGTATCATGTTCGAAGGCATTGGAATAATCGTTAATGCCAGTGATTCTACACAGTTAAGCTCTGAATTCTACATCGTTTATTCCACATGCTCATCTCGCTAGTCATGGCTGCTCCCGCCGCAGCGGTCGATAGGTCATAGCAACGGCAGCAGCTTCTAGGAGTTCCTGGAACTGCAGCCGCTCGCTCGACAACAACTCGGTTTTCCAGAACTTCTTCACATGGTCTACACATCCATGCGAAAACTTGAGCGGAAAGTGCGGCCTCGACTTCGAGTCATGGTCATCTCTGTTCGACAATCCACCTGAATTGGCAACTCGGACGACTTCTGACCACGTCTGAAATTTGTATTCAACCCCATCAATCTTTGACCAGAGTCCTGTACCTTCTGGTTGTAGGAGGTGGCCATAGGTGGTATTGATGATTGAAAAACCGACGCTGTCGTCGGATGGTAGTTTTGGTAGATGAACCAGCACGTGTATCCTTTCTAGGTCACCCGCATCAGCGTCCCGGTTCTCCCGACAGAAATCACTGTTTGTCCCGGGGCAAAGCAAGATGCCATGATGACCGTAGCCACGAATCTGAGCACACGCAAAATAATAAGCATCGTGACGACAAAGTCGGGTCGTTTCCTTTTCAACTTGAACTTGTAAATGCCCTGGAGCTGTCGTCTCAGAGCGGGTACGATGTTGGTCCGTCGCATAGGAATGGAAATCTGGAATGGTACACCCCTTGCTTTGACAGCCTCCTCTATCATACTGGCGGTAAGTTCCAGCGACTCCCAGAGCCTTAGTATCTGAGCAGGGTCCAGCTCGCGTGCAAAACGCAGGGGGCATCTGAAGAAAATGGCAACGATATCTTCTCTGTAATCCACTGTGAAAAATTTGTCTTGCCCAGTAATCGCCAAAATGCTATAGATGTGATCTCGAGGATTGAAACAGTGAGTAATTTCACCACCAAGGTTAAAAGTTTACCAAAAATGCTTGGGATTCCATTCTCCTGTTCGGCGAAGGATTTCTAACTTAAAATCCAGGCTGATGAGGACTTATTACTCGCCCCAGGTCATTCTGCCCCCAAGGGCCCGTTGCAGAATCTATGTAGCGCATCGGGGTGGACGAGTTTGCGGAGTTTCCCAGATCTCCACTTCGATATAGCCGTTGCGTTTAGGTGGCAAAGCTTTGAGCAAACGCAGGTTTTCAGGGCTGACCGAGGCTGAATAGTGAAATGCTTTCAGTTTGTCCGATTGTTTACCATGTTATCATCTGAAGCGGGCCGAAGAGGCGCGCACTGCATGGTCAACGCATGGTGTTAGACGCGTGCGTCCATTGATCGAATGCGCACCGACGCTTGGGAGTTCTCCGGCAACAGGACAGAAGTCTGAATACCGTATCTGACCCAGTATGGGTAATACGCAGAATTACAGAAAGAGATCTCTTTCCTAACGCTGTAGGTCCACCGACCCGGCCTTGGGCTCAAGAAGCTCCACGAGACGTTTCCCAGGTTCCGTGGGTCACAGTGTCCAACGTTTCGCACCCCGCCAAGCATCCAACGAAACACACCAACTTGCTCTCCCACGCCCAACAATCGATAACGACTCTCGCACACTCTGGCCCAGCCCGTGGGTCCGTAGGTAAAACACGGCTGCGTATACACTTTATGAATCTAAGGGATATTGAATCGCGGTGCTTGGCATCGCGTCTCGGTGTTTCTCGAGGGGGTGGGATGTGGGGTAGGTGTTTTAAGCTGTGCGATGCGGCGAGGCTCTGCGCCAGGGACGCACAGATGATCTCCGCCAAGGACGCTCGGCGGACTCTTGGGTGCGGACAAGAGCCTCAGGTGCCGCGAGTTCTACACGTCTGGTACTGCAGGTGGTGACGGAGTTGGAGTCGGCGGCTGTCAAGGCGGTTATGCGGGTTTGTGGAGATCAGGATGGGATATGATCTGCGTAATGCTGGGGATGATGGAGTGATGCATTGGCGGTGGACGCAGAATGCAGTCGCACGCTACCGACTATATTCTTTCCGCTCGAGTCACGCCGGACGCCGGCTATAACTCTGAGTATCGAGCTGTCAAGTCTCGACATGGCTTGCGTGGGTTGAGAATTGGAGTTTGCGTACCACGAGTCTCCAAACGTTCAAGACGAGCCTGGCTGCGCCGGTGAGGATCCACACGGGCGCTGCACAAGCTGCAGGCGAGCACTTCATGTGTTTGCAGTGTGGACCCTGAACCAATGCCCAGCGCTTGAATGTTTCGCCGGCCGACAGCTATCCAGCGTGATGGCGTAGCTGCTGTGTAGAGGCACGCAGGGCACCGTCGAGCGTGCACTTGGGCTTCGGCGACATCTCGCGCCCCCACGATTTCTCCGAGGCGAGCTCATGGCGTGAGTAATGGCCCGTGGCCCTGGGGTCGAATGGCTGGAAAAGGATCACATGTGCTGCAGGACGCAAAGAAAAGAGACCGGAAATGCGCAGCGCGCGATGCCTCCCCAGGCGGATGCGTCCGTTTCTCGGCTATCTGGGAGGCAGCATCATGAGACGGGCAGCCGAAGCAAAGCGCCCTCCGTTGTCCCGCGGTGCCGAGCTAGAGGCATGCGTCGCGGAAAACAGCAGGCAGTGGCTATCTGGGAACATGAGGCATGGGCAAGGCATGGAAGCTCGGGGTAGCGTCGCGCGGGCTGGGCGGGCGGTGAGCAGCGCGCGTCCGGGGAATGTGAAGCAGTGACGGGCAGGGCGGGCAGAGATTGCAGCCCCGCGCGTCGCAGGCCAGACGGCGGCGGCGTGGGGGCGTTTCGCGGACCTTGGCTCGCGGCGTCTTTGGGTGTGCAATAAGTTTTAGCAAGGTGTTCGGGGGCTTTGGACGCTGCGCTGCGACGCATGGGGGAGCGGCTTATCGATTTGTGCATGGAGGGGCAGCAGGGGAGCTCCAGCCATGGCAGGGCCCGCGCGCCAGCTCTGTTGCTTTTGCGGGCCTGCAGAGTGGACGCGCCCGGCGTCACCAGCGTTGAAGCGGCTTGGTGCTGGCCCTGGGCCCAATTGCACTCACTGCCCTACCTGCTAGCACGCTGCGTTCAGACTCACCACTGACTGGCCCGATACCGTCGAGGCCCTGGGTTGGCACCGATACCGATACCGCCCACTATATAGCACTGCGTGCCCGCGGCCGTCGACCCGCTCAGCAATCCTCTCTCCCTCACACACCCTCCCCTCCCCCACCTCCCCACACACAGACAGCCGCCCGCCATGACTACGCTGGCCGTCGACAAGAACGCGGCGGCGTCGGCCATTGACGAGAGCGAGTTCGACGACGAGCATGGCGAGCACCACCCGCACCGCAACTCGGTGCACCACCGGCTGCGCGCAAACAGCTCCATCATGCAGCTCAAGAAGCTCATGGGTAAGCCCAACGGCAGCGCCAATTGCCCGCCAACACGCCCCTAACAGCATCCCCAGTCGCCAACAGAGGAGAGATCCCCATCCGCATCTTCCGAACAGCCCACGAGCTGTCGCTGCACACCGTGGCCATCTACAGCCACGAGGACCGCCTGAGCATGCACCGGCAGAAGGCCGACGAGGCCTACGAGATCGGCGCGCGCGGCCAGTACACGCCCGTCGGCGCGTACCTGGCCGCCGACGAGATTGTCAAGATCGCCGTCGAGCACCAGGTCAACATGATCCACCCGGGCTACGGATTCCTGTCCGAGAACGCAGAGTTTGCGCGCAAGGTCGAGGCCGCCGGCGTTATCGTGAGTAGCTTTACTTTGTTTATGCCATGACGAAGGGCTGCCGGGGTGTGCCGCTGTGGCCGCTCATTTGTTGAGCCGGCGAGCTCTGGCGGGGCAGCCGCGACCGTGCTCTTGCCGTAGGCCAGCAGCCCGCCCGCGGCCATCTCGGGCGCCCCCAACAGTCCAATGTGTTGCCAAACGCCAATTGCGCGGACCCAGGCTGACGTGTGTTGGATAGTTTGTTGGCCCCTCGCCAGACACCATTGATGCCCTCGGCGACAAGGTCTCCGCCCGCCGACTCGCCATCAAGTGCAACGTGCCCGTCGTGCCCGGCACCCCCGACCCCGTCGAGAAGTACGAGGACGTGAAGCAGTTCACCGACGAGCATGGCTTCCCCATCATCATCAAGGCTGCCTTTGGCGGTGGCGGCCGCGGTATGCGTGTCGTCCGCGAGCAGGCCTCGCTGAAGGATGCTTTTGAGCGAGCGACATCGGAGGCCAAGTCTGCCTTCGGCAACGGCACCGTCTTCGTCGAGCGCTTCCTCGATAAGCCTAAGCACATCGAGGTCCAGCTGCTCGGTGACAACTACGGCAATGTCGTGCACCTCTACGAGCGTGACTGCTCTGTCCAGCGTCGCCACCAGAAGGTCGTCGAGATTGCCCCGGCCAAGGATCTCCCGGAGAAGACCCGTGATGCCATCTTGAACGATGCCGTCCGCCTTGCCCAGTCGGTCAACTACCGCAATGCTGGTACCGCCGAGTTCTTGGTCGACCAGCAGAACCGGTACTACTTTATCGAGATTAACCCTCGAATGTAAGTCTTTTGAGCCAAGCCGGACAATTGCACAGCTGACCTTCCGGAACAGTCAAGTAGAGCACACCATCACCGAGGAGGTCACCGGCATCGATATCGTTGCTGCGCAGATCCAGATTGCAGCGGGTGCCTCGCTCGAGCAGCTTGGTCTGACCCAGGACCACATCTCCACCCGTGGCTTTGCCTTCCAGTGCCGTATCACAACGGAAGATCCCGCCAATGGCTTCTCCCCTGACACCGGAAAGATGTGAGTGAACCCATCCATCACCTGTACCGCCACCATTGCGACAGAGCTAACGTACTTTCAAGAGAGGTATACCGGTCTGCAGGTGGTAATGGTGTCCGTCTCGATGGAGGTAACGGTTTCGCCGGTGCCATCATTACTCCTCGTAAGTTGTGCATTTCCATTGAGTTGGTGGCGATGAGCTCGAGCGCTCCGCCTGTGCATAGCCCATCCTGGGGTAACGCAGTGTACTCAGAGTCTGGGACCAGACATCTCCGTTTTGAGCATACTCCATTGTTGCATAACCCATCCTGGGGTAACAGAGTCCTCAAAACTTGGGACTGTTTTGGCTTAGCTTTGAGTATTTTGGCCTACATTTCACCCATCCCGGGTAACACAGCGTATCAAAATCGCTCGCGCTGATTTGGCCTTCCATCTTGATCATACGCTGACCTTGTGATTAGACTACGACTCCATGTTGGTCAAGTGCTCGTGCCGTGGTTCCACATACGAGATCGTCCGCCGGAAGATGCTTCGTGCGCTTGTCGAGTTCCGTATCCGTGGTGTAAAGACCAACATCCCCTTCTTGCTCAAGCTTCTCACACATCCCACCTTCATCGATGGAGCGTGCTGGACGACCTTCATTGACGATACTCCCGCGCTCTTCGACCTCATCGGCTCCCAGAACCGTGCCCAGAAGCTGCTTGCGTACCTTGGAGAGCTTGCCGTCAACGGCAGCCAGGTCAAGGGCCAGATTGGTGAGCCCAAGTTCAAGGGCGAGATCAAGGTTCCCACCATCACCGATAAGGACGGCCAAGTCGTCGACACCTCTGCCCCTGCGACCAAGGGTTGGCGCAACATCATCCTCGAGCAGGGCCCCGAGGGCTTTGCTAAGGCTGTCCGCGCAAACAAGGGCTGCCTCATCATGGACACCACATGGCGCGATGCCCACCAGTCTCTCCTCGCCACTCGTGTGCGAACTGTCGACCTGCTCGGCATCGCTAAGGAGACCAGCCACGCCTACGCCAATGCTTGGGCTCTCGAATGCTGGGGTGGAGCCACTTTCGATGTTGCCATGCGCTTCTTGTACGAGGACCCGTGGGAGAGGCTCCGCAAGATGAGGAAGCTGGTACCCAACATTCCGTTCCAGATGCTTCTCCGTGGAGCCAACGGTGTCGCCTACTCTTCGCTTCCCGATAACGCTATTTACCACTTTTGCGAGCAGGCAAAGAAGAACGGTATGGATATATTCCGTGTCTTCGATGCGCTCAACGATGTTGAGCAGCTCGAGGTTGGTATCAAGGCTGTCCTCAAGGCCGGTGGTGTTGCTGAGGGTACCGTCTGCTACAGCGGTGACATGTTGAACCCCAAGAAGAAGTACAACCTTGAGTACTACCTGGGTGTCGTAGACAAGATTGTGGGCATGGGAGCCCACATCCTCGGTATCAAGGTTAGTCATCCTCTCTCTACCTCTTACAACTTGCTGACT